TCATAATAATCTAAAATCAGTAAAAACGAGGCAGCATTTATGCTAAATGAACAAGATAATTACTGACTAGAGAATAAAACGCTACAAAACTATTTTGCAGCTTTGTGTTTGGGTTTGTAAAGAGGGGGTTCCCGGGCCGTTGGGGGCCGTGTCACAGAAACGTTTGGGCCGTCGTACCGTCGGCGGTGCTGACGTAGAAGCCCAGCCCCTCCTGAGGGCCCATCTTCAGCGGCGCCCCCTTCCAGCTGAACATGTCCAGAGCCGACTCGTCTCCGCTCACCGACGCCCGCGCCAACGTCGCCACGTCGCTATGGAAACAATCAGATCAGGTATGAAAACATGCTCATTTCCACCTGAAACGTTCCGATTTTAACATGGTTTGCTTTAAAGGTCAAAATATTCAAACACTTCCTGGGAGCTTTTCTGCATCTCCTACACTAATAATAAAAATCTAAATCTTTCTCTATAAATCACTTTGCATGTAACTTTTAAAGTACAAGGATCTTTTCTTTTAACTCCTCTGCTGCTGCTTCTTTAATCTGAACTAAAAAGTAATGATAATGGATAAATAAAATATTAAAGAACAACTTAGAAATTACAATCGGTTCTGTGGATCTATCTACATGTGTGAAGAAAGATTCTGGTTTTCTGTTTCCTCCTTTCACAGTCAGGACATAATATGTCTTCAAATAAAAACCAAAACAATAATAATGTTAGAAAGTGACTTTAAAACTTTTTGTACTCCTTTTATGCCTGTTTGCAACAAACTTCAATGTATTTAATTTGCATTTATCTTCCAGCTCCAGTGAGAATATTTCTCCATATACTGGAGCTGGAAGATATTTCAAATATCCAAAATAAAACAGTTACCAGAAACTATAAAAATACAAACAAAAAAACCCAGAAATTGATAGATTATTAAATCTCTAAACATAAACAAAAATGCTTTTATAGAGCAAAATCGGGGCTAAAAACATTAAGAAAAAAAAATAAACTGAAAAGAAAAAGTCAAACTTCTCAAAATTACTTTTCAAATTAAAGTTTTTCTCATTTCAAATCCAATTTAGCTCTATATTTTTTCCCATCCTATCTTCCCTAAACAACAGATTTGAATTGATCAGAATGAAAGTTATTGATCTGCTTTTAGCTGATTAATTGTTTTTTGTGATTTATAGATCTGTGAGCTACTTACATCCCAGGAGAGGCAGGTTTGAAAATGCAGCAGGTTAAAGGTTTGCTGTAGTCGTGCTTAACGAGGTGATTTCCTAAAAGTCTTCCTCTGGCATCTAATTTCCACACAGCCAGAGCTCCATTCTTCCAAAACACAATGATTATTAAATTCAGAATAAAAACAGCGTTCATGTTTTATTCGCGTTACGAAGCAGCGAACCTGATCTCCGGTGACCAAGCGGCTTCCGGAGCCGCTCCACTCCAGCAGCGCGATGCGGGCCGTGTGAACGGCCGGCAGCACGGTCTGATCTCCGGACGGATGCGTGAGCAGCACCACCTCCCCGCTCTCCCAGCCCAGAACCAGAACCGGCTTTACAGGATGCCAGCGCAGCGCGGCGGCCGGCTGGGCCCGGTCCACATGGCAGCTCTTCACACACTCACCCTGAGTTTGGACAGGACCACAGAGAAACATGAACGGCTTCAAACATCAGAACTGATGTGAATTTATCAATGCAGACTCCCTTATCAATATAAACTCTTGAATTAGAAATATGCGCCATGTTGTATTCAATTCAAACCGACTCAAAAGGATCTTGCTGTGAAATTAACATTTTAACATGAAACGTTTTGACATCAACAGTTTTTGCGAAAGACTTCAATATAATAAACGAACCTTGTATGAAAATCTATCCTAATTTATTGAATATGATTGTAAATGTTAATATGAGATGGAGATTAATACAGTAGGACATTAGTGCAACAACCAGGTTATGAATTATTTAACAGAAAACCAATAAATGTCATAAAAACCGACAAAACAAATGGCAACAAACACATTTAAGCAATCTTTCTAAATAATATATCTTTAATATTCCTCCATAACTAATAATGCTCTTAATAAAAGTGAAACAAAGTGATATAACTAATATTAACAGCAGAATATATATACAAAAAATGCATAGTAAAGTCTTTTTTTAAGTAGGTAAATAAAGAGCAAATGTTTCCAAATCCACAGGATTTGTTGATCATAGTGAGAGGAATAAACAGTTAAAGATCTGCTGGTAAATTAATTCATTCCTATGTTAAGGAGGAAGAACAGTTCAAACAGCTGGAATATTTGCTCATTTCGCGTAACGTTGGAAATAAACGGCTCAGGATTTCATCTTGGATATTTTCTAAAACACAGTTCAATACATCAACCAAACAAAACAAAACCGATGCGTTGAAGTGACTCTACAGATGATCCCAGTTTACCTGATGCAGGTAAAGATCCACGCTGCCGCCAGAAGCAGGGCCGCTCGACGCCACAGCGAGGATGGGGAGCGTGGAGTGCCAAGTCAGGTGAGTCGGCAGATTGCTTCTGTCAGGGGCTTCAATGGGGTGGTCGAAATACACCGCCATGTTCCCTCAGTTCGGCTGCATGACAGAGATGGAGTTAGGAACATATTACTAAATATATATGTGTGATGATTTATTCAACTTACATTTAATCAGACAGAACTTTATTCTTTGTTCTAGAATAATCAGTAATCATGTTCTAGATATCTTTCTCACAGGTAAGTTGAAAATGTGATCTGGCCTGATCTGGTAAAACAAACTTTGCTGGACAATAAATTGTCTCAGAAATTATTACGATAAACAATAATATTGTTGTTTACCTGCATCTATATATTTTTACGTAATATATAGACATGATAATGCAGGTTTGCCCTTTAATAAACTTTAAAATTGTTAAGAACACTTTAAATATCCAAAATAAAACAATATAAAAATAAGTAAATCTAAACATAAAAACAATTGTAACCATAAATAAATGGATTTTGTGTAAACAAAATTTCCCTCAAAGATTTTCAGAATGAAAATGATCAAGCATATTTTATGATTTACATATTACTACAGCTTTAGTCATCCAGTCTGTTTTATTGATATTTGTACAATATAAATAAAATAGATTCTTAAGAATCATTTTAAGAATTAAAATGTGCAGTTTTAATTTTTTTTTTTCAAAATATCTCTTGTTTTTGTTTATTCTTTTTAAAATGACTCAACTCTATTGCACATTTCTTTTAATGTGCAGCAAACTGTACTGTACTATTTGTCTCCTATTCTTTATTTTCATATGTTTCATGTTGTGACGCTCCATGTTTACATTTGTCTGTCACTTGGCTTCTGACACAACCGAATTTCCTCACATTAGATGATATTTCTATTCTATTTTGGCTAACGTTCAGGGTAAATTTACCTTAAGGTTGCATTAACAACGTGTAACATTAACACAAGCAGGTTTAAATGAACTCGATTACGGGCTCTAATCAGTAACAGTCAGCTATCAAGAAAGCCACAGGCTTTATGGGGGAAAAGGACAAACCTTACAGCATCAATTAGATGTTAGCATTAGCCTAGCTAGCAAAGTTAGCGCCTGTAGTCTCTTCCTCGCTAAAACACACACAAAAACCAAACACTACAAAACACATTTGGCAGTGAAGACTTACTTTCCTGTCTCTCCTTTCCAATTAGCCACACTTCGCTTTGTCACAACGGACGGAGCGCGACATACGGACCGTTACTTCAAACGGTGCCGTCTACTGGAAAAGCGTCTTTCTCAGTTGCCCATGACAACCTCAAAGGCTACGTCAGGAGGCGGAGCTACGGAAAACAGCGAACGGACCCGAGTCCGTACCGAAGATGGAACATTGATGGTGAGCGATAGATGACTCAGAAAGTGCCTGTACGAAAATCCATGAGGGGATCACAAACTGCACTATTTTAACGTTTTGTTATGTTGTTCCAATTATTTAGTAGAGTATGTTCAAACAGTACTTTGATTATGATGTACAAAAGTTGGCTTAAGGCTCCAATCACAAATTTTCTTACTTTTTGTGCTATGTTGGCAGATTTTTCTGATTATTCTGATCTCATTACAATGAGAAACTGTCTCATTACAATGTGATACTGTCTCATTAAAATGAGAAACTGTCTCATGACAATGTGAAACTGTCTCATTAAAATGAGAAACTGTCTCATTACAATGTGATACTGTCTCATTACAATGAGAAACTGTCTCATTACAGTGAGACACTATCTCATTACAATGTGATACTGTCTCATTACAGTGAGACACTATCTCATTACAATGAGATACTGTCAAATTACCTTTTCTCTGTTCACTCAACTGCAGCTGTAATCTTTCCAGTTGTTCCTGCATCTCAGACTGGTTTCTCTCATGCCTAATATTTTCTTCTTTTACTTTAGAAAGAGCCATCTGATCCTGGTGTATTTGGTTCTGGTATATTTCAACCTCTTGCTGTAATTGTTCTTGTTCATATTTATTTCTCAGATCCTCTAATAAAACATGAAGCTCATCCAATTCTTGTTGTGTCGTCTTTTCCCTCTTTTGAACCATCGCAATCTCTCTTGACATTTTCTGGTAGATCTCGTCCTTTTCAGCTCTCAGGCTGCTGATTATCTACTAATTTTCTCTCTTTCTGCTTTCTCGCCTCCTGCCATTGTCTTTTTAAGCTCTGCTTCAGTTCAGCAACATGCTTGTGATTCTCAACAGGCTATTGACTACAATTTTGCTAAGCTTAGCATTGATGCTAATTTTTAGCATGAGAATGCTGGGTCCAAACCAACATACGTTTTAGAGTATTTCAAATGTACTTTCATAATCATAAACCAACATTAAGCTTGTTCTAAGACGGCAGAACCTTCGCAAAAGGTAACATTTAGTTAAAAAGTGGAATATTTTAAATAAAAAGGGAAACTTTCATTGGTATCCTAGATAAACATACGTGTTGATTCACAACAAACCAACAGGAGGGTTAAGTTGCTTCAATATTAGCCTCACATTGGATTTTTTATTTTATTTTATTACAATAAAATTTATGCTATCAAAATAAAAATAATGAATTGCCTTTATTGTATTTCATATATCTTTACCAAGCTTGCCAAGCAACACATATTTATAAGCTCATCAAATTCATTCGTTTACATGTGAAAAAAAAAACTCAAACAAAAATAGTTTTAATTGGAGAATATTCCAGCTTGTACAGATGACTGTCACGACCGGATGCAGTAGTTCTTCCATTACTTCCAAAAGCTTTTCTGGACAGAAATATTCTCAGGATGTCCTCTGGAAACAGACTGCTGCTTGAACCGGAAACATGTTGGTCAAAAGGAAGTTATGTTTTAATCCTGATATTTAGAACTGAAGCAGAAAGAGGAGCAGGCTTACACACTGCAAAAACACAAACTATGACCAAGTATTTTTGTCTAGTTTTAGTGAAAATGTCTTATTAAACTACAAATAAGACAAAACTAACTCACAAGTAACTTTGAAACTTTTAAAGCAAAATAAGAACTTAGTTTTAAGATACTAATTCTTTAATGATGCTAAAAAGAAACAAAATAAAAGTTCCATTGGAAGATTATTTCACTTATAAAATGGAATAAATGTTTTATTTAAAGAGAAATAATCAGCCAGCGCAACTAGACCTGGGTTGCTAGGTAACGGGGCTGTTGCTAGGTAACAGGCTGTTGCTAGGCTGTGGTTGCTAGGTAACAGGCTGTAGCTAGGCGATGGAACTCAAACTTTTTCTTCTATATTGTGATTATTGACTAAACAAGCTCCTCCATCATGATGAAAAGTGACTTGTAAGATAGTTTTGTTTGATTTCAAGTGAACTGAGATATTTGAAACAGAAAGTTGATGACAAAAACCAGTGAACGTGTTTCTGCCAGAGCTTTTTGCAGTGAATGGGATCACGTTGGTCACCAGTCCACTTCCTGTGCATCACGTTGGTCACCAGTCCACTTCCTGTGCATCCCGTTGGTCACCAGTCCACTTCCTGTGCATCACGTTGGTCACCAGTCCACTTCCTGTGCATCACGTTGGTCACCAGTCCACTTCCTGTGCATCACGTTGGTCACCAGTCCACTTCCTGTGTCCGGATGAATGTTCCAGGAAGTGTAAAAAAAGCGAAGCACCTGCGACGGTAAATGCAGAGTTTAGAGGACGTCCTGATCTGGAGGAAACATCTGGAGCGTCATCTCCACCAGAGATGCAGATGTTGACCCGGTCACGACTCCAAGCTGAGGCCATTCGGGTTCTGAAGCTGCTTCTTGAGGTTCTGATCCAGCAGAACCAGGCTTTGCACGGCTAAACTGCGGCAGTCGGCGTCCGGGTCCGCTTCGGCCACATCTGTGGACAGACAGCACATCCAGAACCAGAACCGGGTTTTAGAGACGAGAAACTAAACATTGTTTTGTGCTTTCAGTCTCAGATCAACATGAAACTGATTTTCTGCTCCAGGCGAAAAGAAAAAAGAAATAAAAACTCAGCGAATCGCATCACAGAACGTCCTGTGTGTGTGTGTGTGTGTTTGTGTGTGTGTGTGTGTGTCTGTGTGTGTGTGTGTGTGATGGGGAACCGCTGACAGAAACACCCTCTGCAGGAGGAGATGTGAACTTCAGGTCAGATAGAGAAATGTCCCATCATGCTTTGCTCTCCTCAGATTTCTATGTTGTGAAAATTTGGTTTCAGTCTCATGGAGAAACTTAGACTTTTTAAATTTTTATGTTGCTTTTAAAATATAAAAACAGAGATTCTGTGGCAGGAGGAAGGAAAGATTAAAGAAATTAGAGAAAAAGGGAATAAAGAGACAGAATTACATAACGTAAGGAAATAAGGAATGAAAGAGGACACAAGGCATTAAAGGAAGGAATTAAACAAGGACAGGAAGGAAGGAAAGGAACATTTAGACAGTGGGATCATGAATCCTGAGAAACCCAGAATCCTCTATTCTAGTGTTTTATTGATCATATTGTCTTTTCTTTTTTACCTGCCAGCCAGGTTCTTGTTTCCAGCAGCTGCTGGCTGAGCTCCGTCATCAGAGCCTGACTGGGCATGCTCAGAAACACGGAGCAGACGGCGAAGAGGACGCCTCGCCTCACCGTCCTTCAACCACACCAAACCAGCAGAAATCACCAGAAACCAGTTAGAAACCAATAAAATCTCCAGACTTTCCAGTCAGCCTGTGTGTGAAGCAACGATGTGAGTCAGACGTACTGGTCAGTGTGGTACCGAACGGCCCACACAAAGTCCAGCAAGGCAGCTCCCATCTGTACAGCTACCTGGGAATAAACAGCATGAGCCTGGATTAACACAAATCCATATGACTGATTAACATAATATAATATAATATAATATAATATAATATAATAAATACCGGTGCGTTGACAGCCAGGTGCATGAAGAGGCCCAGTGTGTGGATCAATCTGCCCAGAACCAGGTGGTCACTGCCCAGCAGGTCAAAGGTCACCTCCGGCCTGCCAGAAAGGAGTTTTTCTTTAACCCATCAGTAAAAACTATTCCAGTCTTCAGAGCTCCACTGAAATACTAACTTGTCGTAGTTTCTGAGGAGAGGAAAGAAGAAGTATCCTGCCACAGGAGCGTAGCGGTTTGGAGCGGCTCCGGCCCCCCGCTGGGCGCAGCGCTGCAGGAACATCAACGCAACACGATGCAACACAGTTAGCTCTGCAGGCCGTCTTATTTAACGCCTGACTGACAGAATGGGAACACGGCTACAGAGGGAAACGTCCAAAAACAGGTTTTAACCAGTCAAAGTGGATTAAACAACATGATTCTATTTGACTAAAACTCCTGTTAACTGGCTCAATTTACTTCAGCTGAATCAACATTTATATTTTGAAAGGTTTATATGACGTATCAAGGTAAAATGATTTTGTGTTTTTTCTTTATTTTCTCAGAAGTTTTGAACTTCTGATGGATCCTCCAAGGTTTCGCTTTATTCTGGTGCAGAGATGATGAAAATAAGAGCCCATAGAGAAACTAAGTTAGATTTGGGTGAGTTATTTTTAAACCTGTAGTTCAGTATTTTTGCTTCATTTCCATTTTTCACAGTTTTGCTTCCATTTGGGTTTCTGCTCCCTCCAAAAGCAGGCGGCCATTTTCTGCAACCAACATGGCCGCTGCAGATTTAGCAGTAATAATTCTGGTTGTAAAATAAGTTTTTAAGAAGTTTAACGAGGCGCTAAGACAAGCAGCGACCTTGGAAATGCGTTTGGTTTTATTCTGGATCCTCTTCTCCACTTCCTGTCTCCAGCTGGCGGCGCTGTTGCTCTGGTAAGGCGTCGGCTCCGAGGCGGCTGCGGTCGTTTTATCGCCGGCCGGTTTGGAAAGCTCCTGAGCTGCCAAGGCGAGGACCTGCAGAACCCAAACATGATGAGATTTATAAAGATGTAAAAGATGCAAAAGCTGCTGGTTTCACCTCCAAGATGTCCAGTCGCTGCCGGAGGCTGTAGTTCAAGGAGTAAAACTCTGTCGTCAAGTACTGAGTGACCTGAGACAGACAGAGACGGACTGATTTACGATGCGTAACGACGTCAAGCTGGACGCAGAGAACGAATCAAAGCCGTACAGGAACAGAGTCGACGGCGGTCAGAGCCACCATGGCCGCCTGCCGCAGAACCAGGAAGTCGCTGACGCCGAATTTATCCTCCATGTGAAGAAGCACTTTGGTCATCTGGACACTGATCTGGAAAAACAAACAAGCTGGATTAAAAAATGCCTAAATTATTATGACAGGCCAGAGTTTATCTGAGACAGAACCAGAACCAAAACCAGAACCAGAACCAGAACCAGAACCAGGAATCACATCATGAAAGTACCATGGCAACAGTAGGCAACAACCAAACAAACAAATGACAGGAAAGAAAGAAACAGAAGCATGTTTTTGTTCTTCTTTCCAAATGAGCAAATGAAATAAAACAATAAAGAAGGAACAAGAATAAAGAGCAAAATAAGAAACTGGATATAAACATTCGCTCTGCTCTCACCTCCTTCGCTGCGAAGAAGTTCCTCCTCACCAGACTCTCCGCCGCTCTCAGACTGAGCTCCACTCGCTGCGAGTCGTCAGAGGAAATCAGAGCTGATCAACAGAACCAGGAGAACATTAGAGATGGGTTTCAATTTCTGCAAAAGAACCAAACAGAAAGAACCAAACAGAAAGAACCAAACAGAAAGAACTGAACAGAAAGAACCAAACAGAAAGAACCAAACAGAAAGAACTGAACAGAAAGAACCAAACAGAAAGAACTGAACAGAAAGAACCAAACAGAAAGAACCAAACAGAAAGAACCGAACAGAAAGAACTGAACAGAAAGAACCAAACAGAAAGAACCAAACAGAAAGAACCAAACAGAAAGAACTGAACAGAAAGAACCAAACAGAACTGAACAGAAAGAACCAAACAGAAAGAACCAAACAGAAAGAACCGAACAGAAAGAACTGAACAGAAAGAACCGAACGGAGAGAACTGGACAGAGAGAACTGGACCATGCCGTGCCTTCCAGACAGTCCCGTAGGTATCGGGGCGGCGCCGCCCGACTCGCCTCCACGTCTCCTGACATGTCGTACGGAGGCAGATCATCATCGCTGGTCCATAAGAAATGAGGTTATTACATTTAAATTCAATATTGATTCAAATGAAAGTAAAAATCAGACTACTAGAGAAACGACTCACCTGTCGAGGTCAGATTCTGGATCGCTTTTTGACCTCTGGGAGGCTGATTTGACCCGAGACGATTCTCTGGTCGCCTCTGACCTGCAGACGACAGATTCACCGAAAATGACAGAGAGAATTAAACGAACCGTTTAATCTGAGAACAAGAGAACAAACAATCTGTAATAATTTTACTTTGTTTTAAATCAATATCTGCTCAAACTCACCCATCAGCAGGCTGAGGGTCGGGGTCAGGGTTGGGGTCACGGTCAGGGTCAGGGTTGGGGTCACGATCGGGGTCAGGACACACACTGGGGGTCATGAGAGACAGCAGCTCCAGGGTTTCTTCATTCTTGTCGTACTGTTACAAAAACAGCACAACGTTTCAGACTCTTGTCTCTTATTGTAACTTTTTCTTGTTTTGTTACGTCTTTATTTATTTTCCTCATTCTTTTCGTCCCGTCGCGCTGACCAGCTTCCTGTCTCTGCTGAAGCCACGGCGTCCTGCTGACTGTACCTCAAACTGGAGCTTGGCGCCGCTGAGGTCCATGCGGGCGCTCAGACACTCGCCCACCGCCATGCCCAGCGTCCTGATGCCGACCGCGCTGCTGTCCAGGTGGCTCTGCATGCCGCCCAGCAGGCACTGCAGCAGATCTGGAGGAAACGACGAGCCGCGTTCAAAAAGCATCCATCGATGTAAGACTTTATCCTAGTAACTACTTTATATCCACTTTAAAACTTTTTCTAGTAGCTGCACAACTTCATCTTGGTAACAGTGTTATTCTTTTGTTTTGTTTTATGATTTTATTCATATAATCATTACTTTTTTCTGTAATATTTCAAAATGTCTCTTGTTTTATTACAATTTCATTCTTGTAATCATAAAGAATTTATTTTTAGCTCCAATATTCACCTGAAAAGTGACATTCAGGACCAAATATCACTGAATAGCAATTATTTCTCAATAATTGTAAGCATTTTTCATGCTGATGTGAAGTTTATCTAGTTGAAAAAGAACCTCATGAGATTATAATCCCACATGAACATGAATGATGCTACAAAACCTGCGATAGAGGAAAAATCGCAACTAACGTCATTGCCAGATTTTCTGACGTTGTTGAGAACTAAAATAAACGACGGTTTTAATCTGCACCTGAGCGAAGCTCCTGCAGCTCGGCGTCCGTCAGCAGGCCGGCGGCGAGCAGCAGCGCCTTGCTGACGTAGAGCTGCTGCTCCTGAGGCGTGTGTTTGACCGCGCTGGCGTTGGCCCAGGCCTGCGACACGCTGCGCACAACCTGAGACACACACAGCAAACGTCAGGAGACACTCAAGCAGGAGACACTCGGAGCAGGAGACACTCGGAGCAGGAGACACTCGGAGAGGAGACACTCGGAGCAGACACTCAGAGCAGGAGACACTCAGAGCAGGAGACACTCGGAGCAGGAGACACTCAGAGCAGGAGACACTCAGAGCAGGAGACACTCAGAGCAGGAGACACTCGGAGCAGAGACACTCGGAGCAGGAGACACTCGGAGCAGGAGACACTCGAGCAGGAGACACTCGGAGCAGGAGACGACACTCAGAGCAGGAGACACTCAGAGCAGGAGACACTCAGAGCAGGAGACACTCAGAGCAGGAGACACTCGGAGCAGGAGACACTCGAGCAGGAGACACTCGGAGCAGGAGACACGCGGAGCAGGAGACACTCGGAGCAGGAGACACTCAGAGCAGGAGACACTCAGAGCAGGAGACCCAGCATCAGACCTGGGAGACATTTTGCTGCTTTTATTCTTTATTTCAGTCTCCTAAAATATAACTCTATACTTGGATTATTCTGAATTTATTTTTGCACTATTTCAACTTTATCATCAAACACCTTTTTCATGCATTTTACTATTTTATTCTCACATTATTATGACATTATTTTCCTATTTAATGACTTTATTCCAGTATTATTACAACTATTCACAGATTATTTCTACTTTATTGTAATATTACAGTTTTCCTCTCGTGTTTTTATAAAATCATTTTCCTAAATGCGGGTTCCTGTAGCGCTTAACGTTAGCTTCAAGTAAATAAGATAAAATGTTAAAGATAGTATAAAAATGGAACGCTATAACGTTGTCTTTGTTTTGAACGTTCAGCAGTGATGATAATATTGAATGTTTAGATGAGGAACCTGGAGGAGGAGCGGCCTTCGGTCCCGGTCCGAGCCCAGGTACCCGAGGACGGTCCTGAGGACTGCAGTCTGGAAACCAAACACCAGTAAATACAACAACATCACATAAATACAGATCTAATAAATTCCCCGTCAGGCTGCAGACTGACCTCATATTTATACTGCAGCAGCAGCACTTTATGCGTCAGCACAAACTGAGCCTTTTTATTGGTTAACACCAGGTTTCCCACGATGCGGCTAAAGGCGTCGGGGCTGGAAACGGACCAAAGACACAATCAGAACCCGCCTTGACCCGGTGCCCGTTCACCTGTCCGGTCGGCTCACCTGTCGGCCGCCTGCAGCAGGCCGGTGAGCACGCTCTCCATGCAGCGCTCCGGGACGTCCTGCAGCAGCTTCTGGGTCACCCTCTGCCACACCATGTCTGAGCGCGTGCAGACAGCCAGGCGGGGCGCCATCACGGCCAGAACCGGGCCTGCACAGACACAGCAGGACGGGGCTTACTGCAGGTGGCGCTCTGGAGCAGAACATCAGAGATGCTGAATTTATAACCGTTTATTTCCACAGTTCAGAGACAGCAGCTATTTTGTTCATGTATCTTTCTGTTGCACGTTGTCCACATATTTTCTTTCTATTGGTCTCCCAGGGTTTGCACTGCGCTACGCTTGCCAAAATTCAGATTTGAGTTCAGTACAGTATGGACAAAAGAACCTGGATTTTGCCAAAACTGGATTTGGGGAAAATATATATATATATATATTATTTCTTTTGCTGAATGTGAGCTCTAATCTTTGTCCAGATGTCCAGTCATCTCTTTATGATCCTAATTTTTCCATGGAAGCCATTTTTCCACTACTTCACCAAATGCTGCCGTTAAATCTGTCAGCCTGCCTGGTTTCAAACTCACCACTGTGACCTTGGAGGCAAACTTTCCCCAGTGTCTGAGCTACAAATGTCAAAGAGCAATCGACACCATCTGTGGAAGACATCAGGAAGCAGAGACAATCAATCAATCAATAATGGAAAATATTGCAGTTGATCACAATCAAAAGATAACACATCTAATCTCCGCTACCTAAAATAGCGCTAATTTTAATTTCCTAGCTAAAATGGCGCTAATTTCAAATGGCGCTTATTTAAATCTCCGCTAGCTAAAATGCTGCTAATTTTAATTCGCGCTAGCTAAAATGCCGCCAAAATGGCGTCACCTCTGAGGGCGCTGCAGGTCCTCTCCAGAGCGACCAGCATCTCCGAGGCCAGCAGCGGGTAGAACCGCTGGGGCGTGAACAGCTGGGGCGTGTTGGGGTGCAGCCTGTTGGCCGTGAGGTCCGGCAGAGCGGCTAACCGGGCCAGCAGCGTCTCTCTGAGCTGGACCGAGTCTGATGGAACCGACCGGACGCAGAAGGACCACAGCAGGTCCGCCAGGCGGCCGCCTTGCAGGAAGCGCTCCGTGACGCTGACCAGGCGGTCCAGAGCCGCGCTGGGGCTACAGGGAGCGGACAGAGGATCCCATCAGGCTGGACATAAACCGTCCCAGAAACCATTGCGATAAACGATAATATTGTTTTGATGATTTTCAATCGATACAATAATAATGGCTGATAATATGACTGAAAGGTCAATGAACTTTAGTTTTGCACAGAATAAGTCAGATTTCAGTGTGATGCGTTTCGTAAACTCGTAGTTACATTGTTATAACAATCCCCCTTTAAATATCCAAAACAAAACATATGTATATATAAAGAATGGAAATAGAAATTTAAATAAAAACTTTTAAAAATGAACCATAAATAATGGATTATCCAGTCTTTAAACAAAATTACCCTTTAAGAAATATTAATCCACAGAATGTAAATTATCCATCTCAATTTAATTTGCAGCAGTTTTAAAATAAATTTTTCTTTCTTTGCATTCTTTCAGTGCAAAAAATGAACATGTCTAAGATTCGGCTCAAAAGTTTGGTTTACTGGGGGATGGATTTGCTCTTCCTTCACGTCCCGGTGCGTGGCCTCACTTATTCCCCCTTTAGATTAAAACAGATAATCCAGATTATCGCCTCACCGCAGCTGGCTCACGGCCTCCAGCAGCACCAGCAGCGCCTGGTCCGGCGGCCCCTGCAGGAACAGCGGCTCCCACAGCCCGGAGGACAGACTGAGGGTCCAGGCAGCCTGGAGCTGCCCGACCAGAACCCGCAGGGTTCGGCTGTAGTGGGTCCTCCGGAACTCGTCCCGCTCCGCCGCGGTGCTGCTGCTTTCAGCCCCGTCATCCAAATACGAGTTCAGCGTTTTTAAGGCGTCAGAAACATCTTTACGATCCGCGGAGGAGGAGAGAGACCTGCAGCACTGGGCCACGTTCAGCCGAACCGCCGAACCTACCGAACCCGGATCCATCGAAATGAATCAACAACCTGACATCAAAACCATCGATCCAATAGTTTCCCTCCAATTCAGGTTCTGATTGTTGACGGAATGATTTTAGTAAATCGGCTTCAACCCGTCCGGCACCAGAACCAAAACCACAACATTTATCAACACTTAACGCTGGACGTTTAATGGAAATATTGAAGAAAAAACACCGTTTAACTCTCAGGCGTCCGTCATCAAAACACGTCCGGGTAGTGCAACAGCTGTGACTTTGGTTCCGGGTGCCGTTTTGTTTTTAAAATAAATCAATGCGAGCGCATTTTCTGTTTGAAACGCGTCAGGGGAAGAATTATGAAAATTATTTGATCTTCATTTTGACTCAACTCATTGGGCAATAATGCAGACAATATGGAAAACATATTTATGCTTTATTTAAAAAAAAAAAACTTTTTTGCTTTTTGGTGATCCAACATCAAATTTACAAGCCGGGAACAAATAGAAAAAAGAAAAATCTATATTTTTATTATTTCATATTAAGCTGCGTCAAAAAGCAACTTGTGGCTCTGGAGCTGCAGATTCCCGATTCTTTCTCAATAGTCTTAATTTTTTACTTTATTGCTGCAGTGAAAACTGAAAGTGACTTGCTGCATTTTTACTGATGAGGAAAAACTTTTTTTTTTGTTGGAACAGATAGTCAGTGTGCATTAAAAACTTATTTTTATTGCCTCTAACTTGCACTTTGAAACTGAACTAATTTTTCACACCAACATGTGGCTTTCATGACAGTTTGATGCCATTTTTCAACATTAAAATCTAAAAACATTTAAAGTGCAGTAAACATTCAAACCAGCAGGGGGAGTTAGAGCCTTAATGTTGAGTCAGTAAAGTGATTGTTGGTGTTAATCACATTAATTACCTTTCAACATAAATGACAAAGATTTTTTTAAGTGCTTACATAAAAACAAAACACAGTTTATTTTATTCCATTTATTTATTCTATTCTTACTTCCACTTTTTACCTTTAAATTCTCTTCTTACAATAAATGAGATATTTCCCCAGTAACAATTAGGAGTAAATCATTTGTAGGGAGCTCCAAAAATATTATACAGCTGTACCCAATACTGTTATAATTTATACATTAATTTATACATTTATCTTTGAAAATAGGAATAAATTTACTTCTTACAGATTCTCTTTTCTACAGTATTTGCTTCCCGTCCTTCTCCGTCACACAAGCTGAGCAAGACTGATGGCGACGCCTTCAGCAAACCTTCAGACGCATTTGAAGGAAACAGGAAAGAAGTCTGCAAAAATGTTCATATTTACAGCTTGGATGTATATCGCTTAACTTAAAACCAACTGACTTTACCCAGGGCTCATCATCAGGTTTAGAGAGAAACAGTGTTTAGACTACAGGTAGAGCCGGACCAAGGTAGAAGCAAACTGAGCAGCAACTTAGCGCCTTAGAGACAGACAGACAGTAAAACAGAGTAAAATATGTTTGGTTTAACAGGCCAACATCTTAGAAGTAGCACTAGAAGAAAAAACTGCTTTAATTTGTGTGTATTTTTTAGCTGTGATGGTCGTTTGGGGGCCCAAAACCACGTTCTGTCAAAGGCCATAGATTTTGTTGGACCGGCTCTGCTACCAGGTCAGTTTCTTTCAGAAAAAAATCCAGAACAGAATCAGTCTTTGGGCATTTTTAAACCAGGAAATGAGACGATGGATCAGGTCAAAGTGCAAATCTAATCTACAAAAATAAAAAATATGCAGGCATAATAAAACACCTAAATGCATCTATGTTGTATTTTCACTCAAAGAAATCAGGAATTATTAAACTTTAAACCTTTTTCACCCTTGTGAAAGCCAGGAGGTTTTAAAATGTCATCTTAGTGATCGTGGATCAGAGATGTACAAGAACTCTGTGCATCCATGCAGGACCGACTCCCTCCGGGAAGACAGGAAGAACGCTTCACGGAAGAGCGCGCCGGCCTCAGGCGGCCATCTTGTGCAGCTCCGCTGACTCTCACCTCGCTAAAACTCTCCCGCCACAATGATCAGTGTCAATAAATGTGAATTCAATAAAGCACAAACATGTTTGTTTCAGCAGAACAGGTCAGTGTATCATATTGAATAAATACCGGCGTGAGACGAAGAACCCCGACGGAAACTGTACACGCTACATGCTACATGGCACAGGCGACCTTCCGCTCCTCTGCTGCGACTAGAAAAATACCTAGAATCTAGAATGAGTGTAGAAAAAAACTTTACAAGACATTTACATCCAAGGCCATTGTTTTTTTTTTTGTCTATTCCTTCATGGCGTGGCAAGTGAAGAGCAGTGAGAAAGAGGCAGACAGAGTGAAGAAACAAGGAAATCAGACGTACTGGTGTCAAAGGTCGGCGTTAAGAGTCCAGAAACTGTTCGTGGTGCATGATGTCTTCACCCAGCAGAAGAAAAGAAGAATTACCCTCCATTCATTTCTTATCCTGCATTATTGCTACAAAAATGTCTGAAATCTCCAAGCTTGATGCTCAGAGTTGCATTTAAAGAAACGCTGCAGAATCATCGGATATGTTCGACTCAACATGGCGTCGTAGTGTGATACGGTTCCTTCTCCAACAGATTCCTACAATTAATCCTTTCATCCAAAAAAAAAAATCATAGTGCAAAACACGACGCTAAATTCTTCACATACAACTTGTCAAAATGCCGGCATTTCATCGTTGCAGTAAAAACACGTTAAACTTTCCTGCTTCGCTCAGCAAGACGACGCTGGGATCAGGCGGGCTGCACTGGGATAGTGGGTTGGTCGGGATTCATTTAAAGGGACAGAATCACTGGTTCTGTTGAAGAGCTATGAGCAGTCAATATCTTACACTGCAGTGTCATACGGAGTAAATCCAGAGCTAGCACTAGCCTCAAGCTAACCGTTACATTGTTTGCAGAGTTTTCCTTTTAAAAAAAACAAAAACTCCCCATCTTCAGATGGGGAACTAAAGAGGTGGTGCGCCTCCAATAGTCTTCCTGATCATAAGTACCAGATACACAAACAAATCAATTTGTATGAATGTTTAGCTTCTTCCATTGCTTAGAAAACAAACGACTATAAATGCGACAGTTTTTTCTGTTCTTCCTAAGCGTTTCACACAGGAAGACTATTGGTGGTGCACCGCCTCCATCCACCACACAAACAATTACCTCTGTCAATCACTGTTCAAATTATCAATGTGATTTTTGTGAATTTGATTAATCTTTTGAGGTTACCTGCTAATTCTTTTCATAGTAGTCGTTAGCTTCACTTTTTCTGACAGGAAGACTTTTAGTGGCGCACCGCCTCCAATGATCTGTTTCTGTAAATTACTGTTTAAAGGTTAAGATTCACCGAAACCAAACTGATGTTTCTGGAGGTTTACAGCTAACGGCTAACTCATTGAGCTGCGGGGCCGAGTTCTCTGGGTTTATCCTGAATCGACGCAGAGAGAGACTGCAGGGAGGAAGACGTGTGTTTTCCCCAGCTGGCCCTTTAAATGCATGTAGCGCTATTCCAGCCCGCCTGACATCCAGGACCCTGTTTAATTGTAAACATAAACCAAACAATAAATCACTTCTTTCATCTGGTCAGTTTCTCCCTACAGGAATGATTGTTTTATGCTTTTCACCGCATTTAGTGTTGCCATTTTGGATCACACAAACACAGAAAAAGCAACGTCACACACACACACACACACACACACACACACACAAAACCCTGGAGGAGTTTCTGATCAGGAGAAACTTTCCTCATCGGGTTGAGCTTCACAGACAGCCGTTGTTGACCCCTGACCTGCGCTTCATTCGGTTTGTGAAAACACGACTCAGCCTGGGTCGGTTTCCTCGGGTCGGACCGAGTCGCTTATGGCGCTCAGCAGAATGAAACTTTGACTAACCTTCCTCTAAGGCGTTTTGGTAGAGCTAGCAGATCCGTTTCAGGTCAATTAGAAACTGATTGGGAATAAAAGAGGAGCTAATGTACACTTGCATTTCCACATTCAGCCACCAGGGGGGGCTCGGTTCCTCCAGCCAAATAATGGAAGTCACCAGAACCCAACGGCGCTCGGGAAGCTAACGCACAAATCCACTCAAACCGAAAAGAAACAAAAACAAGCTTATTTTTTACTGACAGCCTTGGACTTTGTAGAAATTCATCGTCGTCTTTTCTAAACCAGTCTGGAGTCGTGAGTGTTTAAGAAGGTCCAATAAATTAATTTTCACATCCTCTCCCTGGTTTTCCTGGTGCCAGGTGTTAGTTATAAATAAGTTCACAGCCTGTGGAGGCGGCGGCGGCGCCTGAGGTCTATTTGACCTCCAGGATGGAGGGGTTGGACTCCATGATGGCCACGATGATCTTATCGATGTAATCCTGGAGCCGGTAGTTGATCTCCTCCTGCTTGTGAACGGCCTCCATGAGCTGCAGGCACACAAACAGAAGTGAATATGTCAGATCTACAGCCGATCAGATATTTCAACATTCTGACCTGCTGAACCCGGTTCTGGATGAACCGTTTTTGACCTGAAAAGTTGCTAAATATGGCAACAGAATTGATAAGTTAATCGGTTTCTCCTCTTATCTGTCAATCTACAAAAATCAGGTCAAATTTATCGACCAATTTCTGACCAGCAGATCCAGTTTGAGCAACTCTGATTGTGTCAAGGAATTATAATAGAGTGAACAAGAAACGTTTACGAAAATCATTTAGAGCCGACGGTTTTAGACGCTTGTATTATCAATTAGCATGGTTAGCTAGCGAGACCCAATCATCCGTTTAGTGGAGTTTATCCAACAGCAAATAGATCTTCATTACAAAAAGGTTAAAAGCAGAAACAATAAAACAAAAGTTCCTCTGATCAACTTCGTTCAGCCTTTCTGTTATCTGCTGAAGTCTTGCTCTCCCTCTCTCTACTGCAGCCAGAGTAAAACAAATCCATCTCAACATGTCACAGTTTCCTCCGTTCCTGTTTTTAACCATCAAACTTCTAACCGAGTCGTCGCGCTGTTCGTTTTTACCAACTCGTCTCGGTTCCGTTTCCCGTTAAATTGAATCGGGTTTGTTTTAAACTCACTTCGGCCCGAGACACGGAGCTGATCTCGGCTGCCAGGGAATCGGAGAAGGAGGCCGACATCAGGTTCTTGGCTCCCTGGATGCTCAGGTTGATGATCTGTCCGTTCAACTCGTCGTTCTGCTCTTTCAGAGTTCGGTTGTCCTGGAAACAAACCGTCAGATGTTAAAACCTGGAAACACCAACCGAAGCACATGCTGCCGGCTTATTGCACAATCAAGCAACTTTTTCAACTTCAGTTTCAGAAATGCTACATAAAACAAATTTGGTTAAAAAATAAATTTGACTTTGTGATTGAACATTTTGAAATTGGGCTTCTGTCTCTTTAAGAAGGTGCTGCTCTGTCTGAAGCTCCGCCTCCAGGAAGTCGTCCCAATATGGCTCCTCCATTTTTTTTTTTACCAGCGATGCTCTGAGCAGCAGCTCCTGTAATGAGCTCAGCAGGCATTTGCTAATTGCTGCTGGCTAGTCTGAAGGAGCTGAATGTAGGAGGCGGAGCTGAATGTAGGAGGCGGAGCTGAATGTAGGAGGCGGAGCTGAATGTAGGAAGCGGAGCTAGAGCCAACCACGAGTTTTAACAGCTGACTGGTTGCCATAGAGATTATGTGATTTCTCAAACATGACGAAAGAATCAAAGCAAAACTTCAGCTTCGTTTTTAATGAGGGAAAAACATAAAAACACGATGGAAAGATTAAAGCTACAGTTTCATGTTGCTGTCCCTTTAAGTCGCTGCACCAGAGCGGGAGATTTGCTCACCTGTTTGAGTCGTTTGATCTCCTGCTCCAGCTCGGCCTCCCGGGTCCGGGTCTGGTACTCCTGCAGCCCGGCGCCGGGGGTTCGGCCTCGTTTGGCCTCGGCCTCCAGCTTGTAGAGCTGAAGATGCTCCAGCTGCTTCCGCAGGTCTTCGATCAGCTGACGCAGAAACAGAGAAACGTTAGAATCTGCCTAGCAACAGCCAAGTCGCTGCAGAAGGCCCCGCCCGCCCGCCGGCCCCGCCCACCGGCCCCGCCCACCGGCCCCGCCCGCCCCGCCCACCTCCTGGGTGCTCTCCTTCTCCTTCTGGTTCTGATGGCGCTCATGACTCAGCTTGTCGGCCATCTTCCTGCGGGACTCCGTCTCCTCGTTCAGCCTGTCTGTCTGAGTTTCCACCTCGTCTTGGAGCTTCTGCTTCTCCTGAAACCATAACAACGTCTGAGCCACTGAAACCGAAAACACACGAACAGAACGAGAAACGGAATAAAATCCGTTTTACCTCCTCCAGTCGCTCGATGTTCGCTCTGAGGCAGGGAACGCAGGACCGCAGCTCGCTGTTCTCATCGTCCAGCTGCTGCAGCCTGAGCAACAGACAGATTATTAATCTGACTTTAAAATATGAAAACACATTTCTGAAGTCTTGAAATAAAACATTTTGTTCATGTTCCAAATCAGTTCTATGAACATTTATTTCAAACAAACAAAAAAAAACTTTTCAGATTAGTTTCTTTACTGCTTTTCCCCAATTTAAAATATTTGCTTTTTCAAATCTTAATTCCTAGTTTTCTTTCCAGTTTCAACTTTTTTTTCCATACTTGTCCGAAATAATTTTTTAAACTCAGTTTTTGGCCCTGATTTCTCTCCGTACTCCAGATTATAATCCCAGGTTAGCAGCCGGTTTGAAGCCGGTCCGCGACCCGTCTCCTCACCGGGCCTGGGCGTTCTCCAGCTCCAGCCCCTTCTCCCTCTCCAGCTTGCACAGCGCCTCCTTGTGGCGGCGGTTCTCCTGCTGCAGCTGCTCGTTGGCCTGCAGCTCCTGCTCCTTCAGCTGCTCCTCCAGCGCGTTGGCCCGGTGCACCAGCTGCAGGTTCTCCTGCCGCAGCCGGGCATGCTGCTCGCCCGACGCCTCCGACTCCTTCTCCAGCTCCGCCACGCGCCGCTCCAGGAGCAGCACCTGGGAAAGGTCAGAGGTCAGGGCCTGAGGCTGGATGCCAACTCGAGAAATGAATCTCTCCGTTTATGGTAATTCTATTCCAATTTTTTATTCAAAAACTAATTTTTCTGTTCAAATCGGTCCAGAAATTCAGTTTAAATTTTGTGGAAAAACCAAACCTTTGATTCTTTGATGCACGTTTGGTAAATCTTTTAATCTCCACGGCAACCATTCAGCTACAAAACGCCCGCCTCCTGGAGGCCATCATGGCTCCTTTAACGTTTTACCAGCGTTGCTCTGAGCAGCGGCTCCTATAAGGAGCTCAGCAGCTGTTTGCTAATTGCTGCTGGCTAGTCTGAAGGAGCTGCGCCTCATGCATGTTATCAAACATGCATGAAAGAATCAAAACGAAACTCCATGTTTATTTTTTGATGAAGGAAAAAGAAAAAGATTTGTAAAAAGTCTGATTTTACTGAGTAATAAAAAATAATTTAAAATTAATCAAATCACATCCAGTGCATGATATGCAGTGAAGTTAAACAACTTGATCACATTTAAAACCCTTCAGTGTATTGAATTGGTTCAGCGTCGCCAGGAATCGATCGATTACAGAACAATTGATCGTCACCTTGTCTGTGATGTCGTTGTCGGCGAGCTCCAGGATGTCCCGCGTCAGGTCGCTCATGGTGTCCAGCGTCATGGAGCTGTTCTGCAGCAGATGCCTGTGGAAAGCAGGAGGAGTCAGAGCGCCGTTCGCTAACGGCTGCTAACCCGACGGCGAGCGCTCCACTCACCTCGCCACCTTCTTGCTGGAAAGCCGCTTCCCGGCGCTGCAGGGAGACAGGAAACGCGGTGAGAGGAAGAAACGGTCACCAAAATAAAGCTCAGCGACTCACAGCAAACAAACCGCAGCAGGTTTACGAGGCTCTAAAGGTTCTGATGGAAGAGCAGGTTCACACACAGGATTTACAGAAATATAAAAAGTTTTAGGTTTCATATCAGGACTGATGAAGAATCAACTAAACTCAAAGCCTGATTGGTCTGTTGATCAGTGTTACTAAGAGTTGCTTCACATTTTTAACCTCCAGATTCTTTAAGGTTCCAAACTTAAAATCTCTAGAGGAAAAAAAACTAAAGAAAATCCTGCAGGTTGAATCAGAAACATGAGCAAGGAAACAAGGAAACCAGAACAGAAACAAGGAAGGAAACAAACATCATTTTTCTCAGTTTGTTCTCCTGTGTTTCCAATTTTCATGCTTCCTTACATATTTTTCTGCAAGCCGTTTAAAAACCAGGAGCTGAATTTGATCCGGGTTCTGTCCGGCCTTTACAGTCATGAAGGAAACGATACAAAAACTTCACTTCAAATAAATCCGATTTAACAGTTTGTTATCTTTCAAAGAAAACTTTGTTTTTAACTCATGAAACTAAAGCCACTAAAAGAAGCCAGGATGGAAAAACAAAACGGGATCAGAACAATAAACATGAGGACGACGTTCACCACAACACACCGAGTCTCTACAAGGCAGCATGCAGACATGCGGGCGACATGCGGCCGAATCAGCACCGCAGACATGAACAGCAGCCGCGTGTTACCTAGTCATCTCTAGGAAATTGAGGCGTGTGGACAGATCCTCCAGGCGACTGATCTGCCTGTGACACTGGCTACAGAAAAAGTCCAGCGCCTCCTCCCTGAGGAAGCTCTGGAAGCAGTCAGGGAGGCAGGCGGGGGCGCTGGAGAGGCAGGAGAGAAGAAGAAGAGGAAGCAGGAGGTGAGTGGCAGACAGGAGGAGGTGAAGGTGCATTCAGGTGCGACAGGAAGTCCTGTAAAGCAGAGCTTTAAAGACGTAAAGTGATGTGAGGCTGTGGTTCAGCTCTGGACAAAACAAGAGATAAAAACAGTGGATTCATCTAAAGGAGGGGTGTTCAAAGTGAGGCGCAGGGGCCGTTTGTGGTCCAAGGTGGGCAGTAACGAGGACTGCACTTAAAGCTGCAGTACGTAACTTTAAATAAATAAAAAAAAGCTTTTTTTACAAACTTGTTAAACTTCTCTCCATGTTAGTTTGTTTTGAGTCAGATAATCTGAGAAAAGACGGATCTCCGCCTGAGCAAATACTGCTGTAACAATCAGAGCTAGGAAGGCTTAGTGATGTCAATCATCCTCAGGTACACGCAGCTAAATGTGCTAATGGAAACAATTCACTTATGCAGCTTTAAGCTGGCCGAAAGAAGAAGAATCCTTTTTGTCCTTCTGGAGTTTCCTACAGATTATGACATGAAAGAATAACGCATTAAACTGTAAAGTGTCTGAGTTTTTAAAAACTACAATAATATAAAACTGATGCAGAACTTTAACTGGACAAATAAAATATAAACTGCAGTTAATATTTGATCATTATTTTGAGTCACTGCTGTGAAGAAACATTTTGCTAAACAGCGTTTAAGCTGTTTGCACGTTCTGAGAGCTGGAATACGGAGGTGTGTGTGTGTGTGTGTGTGTGTGTGTGTGTGTGTGTGTGTGTGTGTGTGTGTGTGTGTGTGTGTGTGTGTGTGTGTGTGTGTGTGTGTGTGTGTGTGTGTGTGTGTGTGTGTGGACACATGCACAGCCGTGAGGGTGACTGTCTCCAAACAGTGACGCATTCACACTGAGTGGGTGAATCTGTTTGTTTCTTTTATCTCAGCAACCAAACGTGGACATTTAGTATCAAACTCACTTAATTCATTTTATAAAGCAACAAACTGATTCAGCTGGTGATTATTTTTACATTTATTCTGGTGATTCATCGGTTTAAAACATTCTGTGGAACATTCTGCAGATTTCTTTGAGGGTAAAATTTATGGCGTTTTCCAACTCAATCTAAACAAACATTTATTACATTTTCAGCTGCTGCGTTTTCCTTCCACATTTAACCGAGTCAAACCAACCAAATCGTTTTTAAAAAACCTCTTCCCCTCCTGGCCTGAGGGGGCGCTGCACAAAGAACCACTGCAGGAAATGACAAAAACCTCAGAAGTACCTCCATTCACAAAAACAAAAAATGTAGCATCAGAATTTAGCGGTTGAAGGATTTTTCTTGATTTTAGCAGATTACAAACATTTCTCCCGCTAGCGCTAAGCTAGCAAGAATGTTTTGGTTGCATTTATATTACCCAGAATGCCCTGCTCTGAAGTCCACTTCCTGCTTTTGGAGCAGTCTCCAGTCCGCTGGGCGTTCACATATGAATTCAAACCAAACCACAGTTTCAGTCTGGAGGGAGTGAACCGCATTCGATACATTTAAGCCTCAGCTGGGAACGCGACAGCGTTTCACTCCTTATCAGCGAGCATGATGGGAAACATTGTTTCTGTTTATAAATGGCACTGAGGCGTTACCATGGCGGCCGCTCCTACCTGGGGGAAATGACGGCACAGCCGTTGATCTGCTCCGGCGGCGGGGACAGCGTGGCGTCGCCCTTCCCCATGGAGTCGTCCACGCTGCTCTCCAGCAGCAGGTCTGACGTGTTGCTCTCCCCAAAGTCCTCGAAGTGCTCCTCCTCTCCGCTGATGACCGTCACCAGGGAGTGGCTGTGGAGCTCCGAGGTCAGGGAAAACCTGCAGGGGGCGCCGACACGTCAGGTTACCGAGTCGCACACCAATCAGACAGCATGCAGCACCAGAACCACAAACAGTTCACTTCAGGTCCAAATCAGAGAGAAATAAGAAAACTTAGCTGGATGCTAACAGCACTTAAAGGAACAGTGACTTAGAAAAGTTTAATGCATTTTGGGGGGTTTTAAAATGGCACTTAAATACTGCGGAGTGAAGAGATGCTGAAATTCTGCAAATCTTTAATTATCATCTTTTTAATAATATCTCAATATCTGCACTTCAACATCTTTGTTGAAGTGACTATTTACTCAAGAGCTTCTTTTACTTGCGTACTGAGAAAGTGTTCAGGCAGCTTGCAGGGTGATCAAAGCTTTTGTGTGAACGCGAGGTCTCACTTCAACGTTGGTTTTGTTAAAACGTGTTTCTTCTTCCTTCATTTGACTTGTTCTCAGAGAACAGAGCATCCAGACAGTTTACTGAACTGGAAGAGTAGTGGCCCTGAATTTCACTCAAGTGAAACTATAAAGTTCAGCGTTGTACATCTAAATACTTTTATGCAATGAGTAAGTAACAAGTTTCCACCATCTTCTGGCTGTACACACAGACAAAAGTATCTTTACAAAGTACTGAACACAAATTTTCTGATTTGTGTTTAAAAACTGAAACACTTCAGTTATAAATTGCTTTGTTGCCCTGCAGCATAAAGTCCCAGTAAAAGACGCTGGATTTTCTGTTTGTAATGCGACAAAATGAGTAAAAACACTTCCTGCCTGTTTAAAAACAGAAACTGGTGCAGGACCCAGAATCCGGCCAGACGACAGAATCTTTCCCCAGGAACCGCAGCAATCTGGTCAAGTTCAGCGGCTGCTCGTTAAGCTAAGCTGCTAATTCACTCTAATCCCGAGGGCTCCTCCTGAACTCGTAAATCTCAACCTCTGTGGCAGCAGGAAGGCCATCTGTGATGTTTAAATGGGAGAAACTTCATGAAAACATGAGTCTGTTTTCCTGTTTCAAGGACATGTTGAAGGCACCGCAGGATGAGGAAGTTAAAATCACCAGGAGAAAAACAAAAAAACGGGATTGAGGCGACGGATTCGAGTCACAACGTTCTAAATACTAGTTTGAAACTTACATTTTACCCGTTTCCTTGCAAGCGGGCCCCACGCCGACGTCCCCGGCGCCGAGGGCCGGCGACGAGCGCGATCGCATCTTTGAACGCCCTGCGCTGCCCTGGCGAGAAAGCCTGGGGGCGACTGGGGTCAAAACTCCTGACAACCAGAGAGGAATCCTGAAGTTTCACGGTTCAACGCCACGCGAAGCAAAACGGCGACGGACCAGACGCCACATAAAGGACGGCGCTCCGATTGGCTTAATCAGATCCCAGGCTGAGCGACAGACAGACGGTACCGCTGACCGAGCCGAGGTCCGAACGCGCGTGTGTGTGTGTGTGTGTGTGTGTGTGTGTGTGTGTGTGTGTGTGTGTGTGTGTGTGTGTGTGTGTGGGTGTGTGTGGACGCAGGCAGGAGGGACTAATCCTGTTAGATTGTTAATCCTGAGCCGAGTGAACAGATCCGTACTTTAGGGTTCGATGACTGACAGTCGGTAGGAACCAGTTACATTCACCAAACTTTTTAAATAGTTACTCAGCTGAACTTCTTTCCTTCACCAGAATAATTTTATTATGAATTATTTCTGCTTGAGTAAAACTTCCGGATTTTCTACCCACTCAATAAAAAACATGTTTTAACCAGAAACTCAGACACATTTTTATTGAAATAAAGTGATTTTCTTTAGTCTGATTTTGTTATTTATATGAATTATTGTCATTTTAGTTGTTAACATAACCAAATTTCCTCTTAACTTTATGTTTTGGTGCATCTGAAAATCAAATGACTGATGATCTGATCAGTTGCTGATCAGTACCCGTTTAGACATTTTATTCTTGAGTCACTTCCTGGATAAACTGATGTGATGTCAAAACTTAAAAGCTATAAATATCAAAAATAGAAATATATACGTCAATACTGAGCTACTTTCGGTGAGCCATAAACATCCATGAGGAAGTCATCCAGGTTTGTGATGAGATTCAATGTTCGATTTCAGATTAACTGAGTGACGCCATGCAAGAGGCGGAGCTTTTGGGAAAAGAGGGCGGAGCTTTGGGGAAAAGTAGGCGGAGCTTTGGGGAAAAGAGGGTGGAGCTTTGGGGAAAAGAGGGCGGAGCTTCGGGGAAAAGAGGGCGGAGCTTCGGGGAAAAGGGCGGGGCTTTGGAGAAAAGAGGGCGGAGCTTCAGACAAATTGATGTCAGCCGGTGTTGAAGTGCCTCCAAGTGGTTGCCCTGAGAGATTCAAGCTTTTCAAACATGCATGAAAGAATCAAAGCAGAACCTTTTAAAGAGACAGAGGCCCAATTTCAGGGCGTTGGATCAAGAAGTTATTTTAGTCATACTTGATATCTGTAGCATTTTCATAGCGACTGAAGGCAACATAGTAACTTGATTGTGCTATAAACTGGAAAACGCTCTGAGGCGGAGCTGCGTCTCGAAGGCGGGGCTAGGGCCACTTAGGAGTTTTGTACAACCATGGAGATTAAAGTATTTTTCAAACATTTATGAACGCATCAAAGCAACACTCCAGGTGTTTTTAATGAGGGAGCAACATTATAACATGATGGAAAACTCAAAAAGTACATGTTGCCTAACGGCTCCCCTTTAATATCAAATTCTTTGATTTCCGTTGCTCATTTCCTTTCTGGACTTTCACACGTCCATTCTGACGTATAAATGCGTTGACGTTAGTTCTGCTCCGAAACAAAGTTCAAATAAAACCCACTGATGTCTGTAAGGTGACAGAGTGTGGAAAATGTCCTGATGTAGCAATAAAACCACAGACTGATGCAGCTGCTGGTACAACAGGAGCTCAGACGGCCCAACAAGCCCTGCGTTTGGTAAACAGGCAACTGGAGTCACACGGTTTATCTGCCGACCTCCAGTCAGCAGCAGCAGCTAACGGCCTCAGTCAGTGGGAGAGGAATGAAGGGATTAGATTAGCTTTTGCCAGAGTAAGGCAAAAAAAAAAAAATCGGGAAGAAAAACGCTGAATCAACACTTCCTGGAATTCTCAGCTCACGCCTGGAGCGGGAAGTCCGAAGGCGTCGGTGTCAAGAAGCCGGACAGACGGGTTCCCCAGTCAGCAGATACCGGCGCTACGCTGCACTTCCTCCTGCTGCTGGACGAATCAACTCGCTCAGACCAAAAAACAAAACACTCATCACTTCTGCAGCGGATGCCATTCAAAGCAGCGGTCAGATCCACGTTTGGAGAAAAACTAAAAATACTTTTAAAAAAAGAAAACCTGTCGGGCTCCGACGCCTGCAGAACGATTAGATTCAGGCGATTCATCAGATTTTTAGTGCGTCATGTTTAACTGAACGGTCGCCATCTGACCCTTTGACCTCATCCTCATCAACATGAAACTGTGCCCAGAGACAGAAGACATGTTGAGGATTCCAACCCCGACCAGCGTCCATGGAGCAGGTGGGCGTGGCCTCGTGACCTGCAACGCCGTTGCCATTCGTTTGACTCTGAACGCCACAGTTTCGGGCCGAGCTGCTCCAAACTGACTGGGATGGATTCTCATCCCCCACAGAGGGAAACAACCTTTGGCCCAATTTCTCTATAGCGCCCCCTAGAACACTGTAAATGATCAGCTCCAAGACATGCTGTAAGCTAGAATTATGAAACTCAGTACACGTGTATCTTGACAGGACAAAAAAAGTCTCTTGGAGCCATGGTCTAAACCCAACAGGAAGTCGGCCATTTTGGATCAAAGTCGTGATTTTCTCTGTTTTATAGACATGGTATCTGATCGAACTCGTCCCAGTTTTTCAGAATCACTCACTTCGATGCCTCAGTCTTGAGGCATCGAAGGTCAAAAGTTATCAAAAGATTTCTTGAACATCAAAGCATGTGGGCGTGGCTAAGGGGCAAACTTTGACTATTCACCATGAAACATCAAGGTTCAATAACTTCCACATGCAAGGTCACAGCTGCAACAGACTTTAAATGTCTCTATACAGACCAGTCCTGGTCACATTGTCATGTTCAGTTGATGACATCACCTTAGCCCCGCCCCCTTCCAACAGGAAGTCGCCTGTTTTTTCTGCTGTATGCCTTTTTACTCTTTTATATGGATTTAATCCTTTGCAAACTGACGTAAAATGACATGAACTCTGTCAACACTGGCTGAACCATGTCGGCGTGTTCAAATGGCGAACTGCAGTCCCTCGCCATACGCATACGGTCATCTGTAAATCACACATGGATCATCCGATTGGTACCAAACTGGAAATGTATGACCTTTGTTCACATCTAAAGAGCCCAATAGCATTAAATTGTAATTTGACTCCACTCCGATGTGATGCTGTACGAAAGGTCAGAACCGGGTCAGAACACAGAAATCAACAGGGCATTTACAGACCTGCTTCCCCGATCGTCGGGGTCGTGCAGCGTGGCTTCGATGCCGCTGTCCGTCTCCACGTCCTCGTGCATCTCTGGGGGAACCAGCGCTCCCGTGTCCTCGTCTGTGAAGGTCTCGCACTCGCTGTAGGTGCTCTCTGAGCCCAGGTACGCGCTGTCCGTCACCTCATTCTGCTGCAGAAAACGAATCTGGCGTTTAGAGCTGAAACCCAGCGGGGTTGGAAACCCAACGAAGAAAGATTTATGCGTTTAAAGCCTTCATCCCATCTTTAAATCTGCTCAAAAGTGAAGTGATGAGTGATTCATCTACAGACAAAGAAATTCGGTTTTTAATTTTGATGTATTTATCCAAGGTTGAAATGATTAATCGTGATTAATAGAAAATTTAAATAAACTAAATAATTGATTAATCGTCAGCAATAGTATACAGCTCATATTCAGAGCAGTAAATAGGCCAAAATAGTAATAATAAAACATTTTGCATTTAAAATAAAGAAAACAAAACCCTGTAAAATAAATCTAAATGCTGTAAGATAAGGATGATATGACGCACCTTTTGGTATCAAATTATTAACTAGTAACTTTAAATTAAAACAGATCATCCTGCAGTGTTTTGATGTTAAGTAAAAAGGAAGGAGTTTAAATCTCTTCAGCTGCAGATTAATTGTTTTGTAACAAACGATCAAGAATTCTCTAAAAGACGCCATCATTGAGTTTTAGAAAAAAAATTGTTCATTTAAATTATTTAAATTTAAAAGATTGTTTAAAAGTGAAAAAAAATTAATTCTGAAATTTACATATTTTCTTATCAAATAAATTGATTAGAAAGTTGATCAATAACTGAAGTAGTGTTTAATTGCAGCCCTGCATTTATTGAACAACCTGCATTTAATAAGCCAAACAGAGAATGAAACGTTTCTCCACACTTCTGCAGTTAAAACTCTCTTTTCTTAATAAACTGTTTCAATAAAATAAACTATTTTCTCTTGGCCTGAAGAAAAGCAAACAAACGATCAAAATACTTCAGAGACGGTGAATCCAGACAAGTTAAGCTCATTATCTCACCAGCTATCAGCAAAGCTTTAACACCTCGAAGCAACAGGTTCAAACAACAACATTAAGGCAACACCTTAACCGCCAGCTACACCACAACATACCAGTTTACTGGAGGCACTGGAAGCAGTGGGGCTCAGAGGGACGACCGCCTTGTCCAGAATCATCCTTTCCACCGGGTTTGACCCACAGAGTCGCCATAAAACCCCTTCAATAACTCCTGCGCCGTCAGCGCGGCACAGGGGGGATGTCAGAGAAAACGCAGCCACACTCGGCCGAGCGCGGCTGGCCGGGCCGAGGGGAGGGGAGGAGACTGGAGCCGAGTCCAAAGAGCAGGACGTCTCAGCTGGGTCAGCTGCCACTTCCTAACCCACCGGACCTAGAAATCATTAAGCCGCGATCCAGGGCCAAACTGAGACTGTTAAACTACAGCAACACTGTTTACGATCAAAACAGGCGAGCTTTCAGGAACTACGTTCTGAGCGTGTTTGACGAGGCGTTGCTGCTGCCAAACACCCTGGGCTGCCGTGTTTTCACAGCAAACAGCAACAGAACAGATCAGCCATTGAGAAAGACGCCGTTCAGGCCAAATAAAAATAACCTAGAGGAAAAAAAGCAAGGCGGCGGCGGACGCAGGTCGAACTTCTTCCAAACTCAGGCGACACGTTTCAGCAAGCGGAGCAGCTGGAGCTTCACTCCACGTTTTCCCATCATTTCCCAGCTGTAATAATCTGAACTGAAGAGAGTCTGCTTTCATTTCTTATTTTAGGCCTGCCACAATAAGTCAATTAAAACAAACTCAACTTCCATTTTCAACATTTATTTTTTTCTCTTTCTACCAAAAACTGAATGATAAAAGTTTGATGTTTGGTCTCAATGAGCCTTTTTATCACAATTAATTTGATTATTTTGGATACATGTTAAACATTCACAAGGATTTGAAGTTTATTGATCTCTGAGAATGTATCATTATGCTGATACTATTATATCACTTCAAAACTATATCATTTATCGCAATAACTGGAAAATTTGTTACCATGGCAATCCTACTTAATTTGTAATATTTCAAACATTATAATTTTTGATGTGTGAACCTTGTGAAGATAATAGTTATCGCATTAATCACGATTAATCTGTTGAAATAATGATCAATTGTTGAATTAATTCCTACAGAAGAAGAAAAAACCAAACATACTGAGAGCAGTTGAACGAAAACTCTACAAAATATTTACATTTTGCTTTTTAAAGACCAAAATTCATCTGGCAACATGTTTTAGCCAAACTCCACAAAGAGCATAGCTTCACCAGATTCTAATTGATTCAAACAATACCTTATATTTTGGCAATACCAAAAAAAAAAAACAATTTTGCATTTTCAATGTTTAATAAGGGCTCAAGTGAGTAAGAGAAAAATCTGCACAATGTGCCATTTTTTTAATCCAATAAATTAGTCAGAATATTACTAAATTATTAGTTCCAACCCCAATGATCAGTGATTCTTGGTGAGAAAATAATCTCAATAAAACAGGAAGGAAAGCTATATATAATTACTCAACTAATCACATTCATTTAATAAACATTTATTTTTTTCAAGCATTGAACTGTAACTCAGTCAGAAAAACATTTGCAGAAGAGTTGTAGTTCAAGCCACGGCCAACAGGGGGCACCAACACCGCAGCAGCAGAAACTGCAGGTCCTGCAGAAACGCAGGTTAAATATAAAGATACCCAAACCTGAACCCAAACGGTGGCCGGAATTCCAGAAATGTCGACCACAACTGGAAACACACACAACCTCACACACACACACACACACACACACACACAACTTCACACACACACACACACACAACTTCACACACACACACACACACACAACTTCACACACACACACACACACAACTTCACACACACACACACACACACACACAACTTCACACACACAACTTCACACACACACACACACACAACTTCACACACACACACACACAACTTCACACACACACACACACACACAACTTCACAGACACACACACAACTTCACACACTGCTGCGCATTCCAGCCGGTTGATTTTCTGTCAAGGGAAACCCAACGCCTCGAGGGCCAGAAGCCAAACCCGCCAGGATGGTTATGGGCCTGCGCAGCCATCGACACGGTAACGACAGCCGAGTGCAGAGGGCGTTCAGGCTGTGGCTCCTTTCAAACGGGAAGCCAGAGGGACCAACGGGAAGCCAGAGGGACCAACGGGAAGCCAGAGGGACCAACGGGAAGCCAGAGGGACCAACGGGAAGCCAGAGGGACCAACGGGAAGCCAGAGGGACCAACGGGAAGCCAGAGGGACCAACGGGAAGCCAGAGGGACCAACGGGAAGCCAGAGGGACCAACGGGAAGCCAAAGGGACCAACGGGAAGCCAAAGGGACCAACTGGAAGCCAGAGGGACCAACGGGAAGCCAGAGGGACCAACGGGAAGCCAGAGGGACCAACGGGAAGCCAGAGGGACCAACGGGATGCCAGAGGGACCAACGGGAAGCCAGAGGGACCAACGGGAAGCCAGAGGGACCAACGGGAAGCCAGAGGGACCAGAGGGACCAACGGGAAGCCAGAGGGACCAGAGGGACCAACGGGAAGCCAGAGGGACCAACGGGAAGCCAGAGGGACCAACGGGAAGCCAGAGGGACCAACGGGAAGCCAGAGGGACCAACGGGAAGCCAGAGGGACCAACGGGAAGCCAGAGGGACCAACGGGAAGCCAGAGGGACCAACGGGAAGCCAGAGGGACCAACGGGAAGCCAAAGGGACCAACGGGAAGCCAAAGGGACCAACTGGAAGCCAGAGGGACCAACGGGAAGCCAGAGGGACCAACGGGAAGCCAGAGGGACCAACGGGAAGCCAGAGGGACCAACGGGATGCCAGAGGGACCAACGGGAAGCCAGAGGGACCAACGGGAAGCCAGAGGGACCAACGGGAAGCCAGAGGGACCAACGGGAAGCCAGAGGGACAACGGGAAGCCAGAGGGACCAGAGGGACCAACGGGAAGCCAGAGGGACAACAGGAAGTTTGAGGTACAACAGGAAGTTTGAGGGACCAACTAGGTCAACAGGAAGTGGAAGGGATGTCTCACCTCGTCGTACTCCTCTGGGCAGCCGCCGGCGCCGTCCCCCGGGTTGTAGCTGTAGAGTTGCAGTTCTGGGCCTGCTGACAGAGCAGGGAGGCGGGTTGGTGTGCACAGCAGCAACAGAAACAAACAGAAACAGAAACTGAGCAAACATGGAGAAGCGGCTGTTGATGTGCAAACAGGTAAGATGAGGACAGGAGTCCTCTGTTTACATTCTCCTCTGGGTGGAAAACTGCAGAAACATCAGCATGTTTTTCACACTTTCATCAAGTTGACCTGAATTAGAGGTTCAGCTAAACAGAAAAACAAGATGGCAGCCTAACATCACTGAACCATGAGAACCCAAAAAATGGGAGAAAAAAAAAAGTTAAAAATCCAGATTTTTAACTTTAAAATGTAATCTTTATAAATAGAAAATTTTAATAAATTGATCAAATTGGTTTAGCGATCAGCAACCAACACAAACCAGTAACAAAAAGCTGAAATAGAAAGATTTCATACGGCCACATGGTTGAAATCCAGAGATCCAGGGATCTCTAGCCTGAGTTTGTCTAAATCAGATTTTTACCAATATATGGAAAGACTTTAATTTTATGGTTCACAGATTCTTGGTTGTGAAAATCTGGAAGAGAAGCTCAGAAAAGCCTGGAGCTGTTTAAAAAAATGTACTCCACACTTTTGGGATTTTAATTCATAATGATTCACAACTTTCTGCTGCTTCATCACATAATAAAAACAAAGGTTCGTGGTTACAACGTGACAGAATTGGTGTGAATGTTTTTACAGCGCACTGCAGCCCCAGATGTCCTGGTCGGGCAGATTTACAGGCAGCAGTAAAAGCGTGACGGTAAACATGACATGACCTCCATCTGAGGCGAACCAGAGGCTCCATGAGGAGACCGCAGAAACCTGCAGCAAAAGTAGCCGAGGCTTGAGACGCGTCCCATCAGCCACTGCGGCCAACGGCACCTTACTGGGAGGAAACATGAACTGGTTCCAGTGGCGGCGGATCCGACGCACCTGCAGGACCTGGTCTGACGTCACAGTGAGAATATTTAACGTTGCTCCAGACATTCCAGTCTCAGCAGGGAGCGAGGCATTTCCACGGCCCGGGGCAACACTGTCAAACACCCCACCTTCACTTCACTACTGCAAACCAGCAGCAGATTCACTTTTTCATTTCTAATGGAATAGTTTTTTTACTGTTAATATTTTACATTCTGCAGCTGAAATAAACTAAACTTTTAATTTACATCTACAATAATGTGTCCTTTGTAGATGGCCAATAGCATTTAGATATATTACCACTTTATAAATCATTAATAACCGTTTATTATGCATGAATTAAGCACAAAGAGGAGACAATCTAGAGTTGTTATTCTACCTTCTAAACACATGAATCATTTGTAAATGTAATTTTTTTTAGCATTTATTCCAATTTTCACCCTTAAGGCACAATAAGTAATTAATGATTTATAAAGAGTGCAATAGTCAATAGCCATGTTATCAATTTATCTAGTCATTGATGACTTTATTGTAAAGTGGAACCATAAAAATTCATTTGAAGAAGCCTCAGACTGAATCATTGGGAAACAAAAAAAAGTGTCTTCAGTCAGAGGCTTCTTCAAATGTGCTGTAATTCTGACTGCTACAGGAGATCTTTCCTGCCCACAGCCGTCACCATCTAGAACGAGGCATTAACTCTAACAGAGCTGCATTTAATACCTTTTGGGATCAATAAAGTGCTTTTGAATTTGATTAGGTAACATTTTTAAGTTTTGAAATGTCTGTTGCACCCGACTGGTCAAAGAGCAAAACCATCATTTAAATAAAATCAATAAGAATGTCAAATAAAATATAAGCCAACCTTTATTTTGACTGCACAGATCAATAGGTCATTGAGCCATTAAGGAATAATAAATATTTCTTAATAAAGTGTTTTTCCTTTTTTGTAATTTAGCAAATAGAAATAATTTGTAATTCTAACGTCTCAAAAGCAAGAAAAGTTTAATTTGATTCAGGCAGAAAAAATGTTTCAACCATAAATAATGTTTTGCAGTCAGTTGGAGCCCGTCAGGCTGGATCTGCAGGTTTTGGCTCCTTTTCCTTTCATCCTGGACACAATGGGAGTAAAAGGATCCGGCGGATCGGATGAGGATTTATCCAGATAAAACTTAAAGCAGGTTTTTGTTCAGCCGTGTGGGCAGAGGTCGCGACGCTGTTTTGCTCTCCGTCATTTAAAAATCAATCATTTTCCATCAAATTATAATCACATTAACAAATCATCCAACTTTTTCTCTGTGACAAAAGCCACTGACTTACAATAAAATAAATTTAAACTTAAATCAGCAGCGCTTCACCTGCTGCGTCCTGAACGCTCAGCCTCACAAATTCCTCTCTGCATCTGCAGAGAAATCTGCACTGGTTCAATCAGTTGGATCCGTCTGATCCAAACCGATCGACTGAACTTTTTTTTTTTTTTTTAACCCTGTGTGGTCCAGGTCTGCGTTTTTATGCTGATTTTTTTTTTTGCGTGGTTTTGCTTCCCTGAAACAGACGGATGTTAGCGGGACGTCAACGTCTGCCAGCTCCAGTTAAAACCGCTGGATGATGAACTGCCGGCTCCTCTGTTCAGACTATACATGGATAAGCTCAGCATTGCATCTCTTTAGTTTTCTCTGTTTTGTATGGAGACTTGAATTAAACGCACCATTTCTACCAATGGTTGAAATGCACTTCCTAACCAGACGCTCCAAAGCATTCGGTCTGTAACTCAACACGCTGTCAGCTCCCGGTCAGGAAGACGCATTTAGCTCAGAGTCCATGAGACGACGTTCAGAAAGGGTTTTTTTACCGATTGATTTTAGTTTCCTCTGCGATTAACTCTTTGTGTGAAGTCTGTAATGTCTGTGCATGTGCTCCAGTCCAGGGTGTGAATTATAACTTTCCAAAATGACCGACGGGCTTCAAATTTTTCCGTCATTTAAAAAATAAAAAATAACCAGTTAAACATGTTAAATATTCCGTTAACCTCTGCGTGTGGGAATCCTGAACCCAAACTCAACTCTAGTTTCACATTTTACACGCAGGCCAAACCACTAATTTCACGTTGGACGTGTTTTATAAGAATCTGTCATTACATGGCTGGAAAGCCCAGCCGTGATTTTGCAGCAGCTGAACGGGTCAGAACCAGAAACCGGGCCAGAACCAGAAACCGGGCCGGCGCAGGGAAAGCAGAGAGGAGGAGGGTGAATAATTGAAGCGAATAGGACGCTCTGTCCAAGCGCTCTGAAAGCCGGCCAATCAGACCATGTGTCTCCAAACATCCTGACTTATTCATGCCGTCAGTAACCAGAGACGCTCAACCCAGAAACAATGTGGGGTGGAGCTGAGAGGGGCGGCGTCATGCTGTGGGCCGGACCGCCATGTTGAACACAGATCTGTTACATTAGCTCTGATTTGTTCCGTCTTATGGCTTTTGGTTCTGGATTTTTTTACTTTTCTTCCTTGGAGAGTAGTTATGAAGCGTAACCGTGGCAACAAGGTAGCGTTTTTGGAAACTCGTCAGCATCTCAAATACCTGAAAATGAGGATTCATGGAAGCACCGAGAGGAAGAGGAAATTCAAAGCTTCTCTTCCATCCATCATTATGAAGAAGGTTCTGATCCGCTACTCCAACCCGACAGAAATCAGCTGGTGGTTCAGTGGATTCAGTTCTCTGGAGGAGTTCTCATTCATCTTTAGTAAAAAAACAACCATTTCTCCTGCTAATGCTGGGTTTGTTTTGGTGGCATTTACCCAGAAAGCCCTGTGCTGTGGTCCACTTCCTGCTTTTGAAGCGGTCAGTGGTCTGCTTAACCTTCACATACGCATCCAAACTGAACCAGAGTTCACTTCAACCAAACCCAGATCAGAGTTTTGGTTTTAGTCCTAATCAGAGATCAGTTTCACGCTTCCCGACCGAACCGGACTGTCAACATCCAGTCCTCGAGGACCGGTGACCTGCAACTTCTAGATGTGCCTCTGCTGCACCTCCTGAAAATAACAGGTGATTAGCAAGGCTCTGGAGAACAAGCTGGAGGTAATTAAGTCATTTCATTCCAGTTTTTGTATCTGTGGCACATCTAAAAACTGCAGGCCCTGAGGACTGGAGTTTGACACCCTGGTCTAGACAAATGGATTGGAGTTGGATTAAAGCGACCAAAGCTAGTGTGAATGCTCCCTTAAACAGGAGCGGCAAAAGAAAATGACATGGATTAGCAGAGCTAGCCTTCGTGGTAGTTATGAAAGGCTTCTGCAGATTCAACAGCCACTGACTTTTGTGTTTTGTGTTCTAGATAAAACTCACAGGTCCGTATCAATAACTGGACTTTGGGACTTCTACATAAACGTCACTGTTTGGTTAAAGATGTTGGAGTAGGGGATCCTTGTTTATTATGACAGGTGGAAGAAACTGTTTGAATGTTCTTCTTTTCAACACTTGTAAACCTTGGGGTCAAAGTTCAGGTATTTAAGATGCAACTCAGCTACTTCTAGTTGTAAAAAAGAAAAGCCAGTTACCATAGTTACACATTGCACCAGCTGTCTAGCAGTAAAGCTGCACAGCATCCAGAACCAGAGGCAATATTATCCCGACAGGCAACGACTCCATCATAAATTATAGATGAGGTAGAGTTCACTACATCCTGAGACTTAATCTGGATTAACAGAATAATCCACCTTCAGGTTTCAGTGAAAACAGGAACAAATGAAACGAGACGCATCGACCTCACCTCCATCACTGATGGCAGAGATTCCTCTGTGGAAATCCTCAAAACTGATGACGCCGAGACCGCTGGGGTCCAAACACTTGGTCAGGTCCTTCACCTGAGCGAGAGAGAAAAAAAACAGATTTTACTTTCAGCAAAGCAGCAGAAGAAACTCAACCATGATGTAATAAATGATGCAAGTGAAGGTTTTTCTGTTAATGAGTAAGCGGCATTGTGACTTCAGTGAGAAACATTTATGATGACAGTTCACTCTACATAATTTCACAAACAGCAGTATAATGTGATTACAGGGCAGAAATCGGCCAATAAAACGCTGCTGCCCTCCAGAAATAAAAATCTGCATTTGCAGATTTCGAGTGTTTAACTGTCCTGAATTGGGTGCAACAGCGGCTTCATAAAAGCTTTTTACGCACCACAAAGAGAAAAGCCTTTAAACTCTGAGGGAAAAAAGGCTGAAATTCAAAACGTCTACAGGAAAACAGAGGTTAGGAAAAAGTTCCTGGAGTTAAAAATGAGGAAGAAAAGCTGATTAAAAGAGCCGACTGCCTGGTTTCACACTCAGCATGGAGCGCTGCAGCGCAGGAGCTGCAGGGAACGGGTTACATAAGCGCACCTACATGCTGCATCGCTCCGCCGCTCACCTGGCAACCAGTCGCTCTTTACATGGAGCTGGAAATAAATCCCAACTGGGAGCCAGCGGGGACCTGCTGTCTGCAGCACACTTAAACCGATTCATGAACACAGGAATCAAATGGGAGCTCTGGGTCAGGATCCCGACCAAAACCGGTCCAAAGTGTCAGACGTGAACGCCGTCCCTCTCTCCCCTTCGCTCCCGATATCAGTTACAAATAAAAACAAGCTGATCGCCTTAGCGACGCTGAGCTGCGACTCAAAGAGGCCAGAAAATCCCAACAAAGTAACTCCGACAAGCCGGAGAGATTACGGTCTGGGTCCGAAGTTTCAGCAGGAAACGGCAAGAACTGTAAGAATTTAAGGCGAGTTTTCAAACTTTTCCAAAACCACACTTTGGAAATAAATAAACAAAACAACAAGAGTTTCATCACACAACTCTCAAGCGTCGCCACATTTCTGGAAACTTGGAAGCCGACGGCCATCTTGGTAGGAATCCGCAACCAACCGTCATGGTGGTTGCTATGGCAACAGCTTGAGAGAACCTCTCGCCTCGGTTCTGTCCAACTAACGTAATAAAATTAAGTTGCAGCGATTAAGCTTCAAGTTTATTTTCCATATACTTTCTTTGTGATGGTTCGCTTGCCTACCAAGATGGCGGCTTGATCACATCCAGTCAAGACAAGGTGTTAAATATATAACAAGACAATCAATAAGTTGCTGAGTTACTAATAATTACAATGAAACAATTCAAGTAAATCATGTTAAGATGAATTAACTTCCTGCTCAAATTAAATACTGAAACACAAATTCAAGGAAAGTTAGAAACTCTGCAAAAGTAATTACTGCCAAGTTTTCTGGCATTTAGCAAAATAATTTCTGTCATTTTAATTTATCTAAAACAAGTTTAGTCTGATTTAACTTCAGGCGAGAATAAAAAGTGTATATTTTCCAGTTTACACGTTATTGCTACTGTAAAAAGTTTTCCACATTTATGACTTTTAATCAAATGTTAGGATTCATTTTACAGCAAAACTCTGCAGTCTGAATATCAAGCATTTTCAAGGTTTTGTACAGAAACCAAGCACTTTCCAAACCTTGACAACCCATCATTGAAAGAATGCAAGGATTTTGCCAGGTAAGCGACAGGAAGTGAGAGTGTTTGGTTGTGTAAACAGAGGAAACCCTCGCTGAGGTGACCTGAGGTTTCCTTTGGGCTGAACCCGACGCTGGAAACGCTCGCCTGAGGTCAGAGGGAACGCGTTCAGCTTCTCACCGCATGGCGATGAGTCATGATGTTCCGATCCAGAAACGCCTCGGCTGCGAGAACGCGACAAGCTCCTGACTGTATTTAATAATCTGTTATATTTAGCAGCAAACGGCTCGAGAAACGTTTTCCTTCACAACCACAAGATGCTAAACAGAGCAGCTGGTCGGCCTCCATCGGCGTTATTAACTGCAGCAGGTCCCAGCAGAGCAGTTTAATCTACATCTGGGCTGAAACTAAAGGTCAGCAGAACCAGATAAACTGGGTCAAACATTTATAACTGAAATCCGTTGAAACCAGTTTTGATTCATCTCTTCTTCGGGAGGTTTGTGGCAGTCGTCCCCTCGCCAAGGCACAACCAAGGCGCAAACATTCATGAGATAATTTACTCTAAACATGCAATACTGCATCAGTTTTATCCAAACGCTCTAAACTTCAAGTATTTGCTGAACATTAACTGAAAACTTAATCAGTAAGCTTTTTGGAGTCTGTGAAAGTGAAATAAATTTCTTGGTCACTATTCTGACCGGTGGGTTTAAATGGGTTAAAAGTTATAATTTCTGCCTTTGAGCTCAGATGTTTTTAAATTCAGTTTAGTTGCAAAACGTGTTTTTGAACTGAAAATGTTTCTTATTTTGTCAATAAATTACAGAGTCTGTAAATAAACTGGATTAAAAATGTAATTAGTTCCACCGCTGGTTATTTCTGGTTCATGTTGCACCGTGAGAATCTCATGCCAGCTGGTTCCTGAATTACACGTTCGGTTCTGCTGAACTGGGACGCAGCAGCGGGTTCTGCTGGTTAGAGGAGCAGCAAAGCTTCGTGGTTTTTCTGTTTCCTCTATTTGTGTGCGATCGATGGTGGGGCGCGCCCGAGCGCCGCGGCTCAGACCGCCGCTGTGCATGACCTCACCGAGACAAGCAACCTGAGAGACGGGCTTCCACCGCGGGGATTTCTGACCCGCTCCGACAAGACGGAGGAAACCAGCAGCGGGTCGGAACAAAAGCAGCAGCAATAATCTTGAACTTTTCCAGGGGAGGAATTCAAAAACAAACAACGACGGTGGTTTCTGACAGCAGGACATTCCACTGTGGATTAGCGGTGAAAGAGTGAAGGGAAACACGGCCGCAGCTTTTGTGAGGAAGTGGGGTCGAAGCCAGGGAGAGACCCGAGGAGAGACCCGAGGAGAGACCCGAGGAGAGAAAGGTTTCTTCAGCAGAAAAACTCACTAATAAGATGCGAGCTGCAGGTTATTCCCCCCTGGAGGCAAAGCATTCATCAGCAGGTCATCACGCACAATGATGAGGTCACAAGGAAAAAAAGAAGAACCGTTTTCACTACAACTGCATTTTACTTCACATTTCGAGCAGAAAATACTGAACATCCTGAGAAATTAGTCAAGTTCAAACTGAAGCACAAATTTCACTGCTGTGGCCCTACAATGAAATTTTTTCTGGACAGCAAATTGTCCCAGAAATGATTGTGGTAAATTATAATAATGTGTTTGAGATCATTTTAAAGTTATGAGAATAATTTAATAACACATAATATAACCCTTAAATTCTAATAAAGAGCTGACAATGGAACTGGAAGACATTTTAAATATAAAATAAGATAATTCTTAAAAACAAACAACCTGGAGACTTTGCTTCTTTTTGGTAAAAAGAGAAAATAAAATAAAATGATGCAATTAACTGATTTATTTCATCAGGCCTAATCATGAAAAGTCCAACATGTTGCACCATGAGGATCTAATCCAGACCAAATGTTCACAACAATACAGTGTGTGTGAGCATAAATATATCTGCCATCTTAGTAACATATCCTGAGCCCCATTTGCATGTTTGAACCAAAAGACCCAACTGGAAATCATGCAAATACCAGATGAATGTTTCCCTGCAGCCTGGCGGCTTCCTGGGAAATTTGCAAAGATAGCCAAACCCAAACCCGTTTCCAGCTTATAACCAACATCAGAACAATCCAACTACTGGGCAGAGAGACAGGCGTCATCATCATCATCATCTTTAATTTTAACCTGAACAGGGAAACCTGACAGTAACGTCTCGGTCTGAATGGTGTTTCACTCGTTTTTCCCAACCGCCTGCTGAAATGCTTCTGTTGGCGCTTCTGTTGGCGCTGCTGCGCAAACCATCACTTTGTGGATTGGACTCGCTCAGGTGTGGATAATATTCAAAACGGTTATCACCAGATTACTGCTGTGCAAGGACAGACGAGGGCAGAGCCCTGTCAAACACGGAGGCCGTGTCAACACGTATCCCAGCTGATAGGAGGGGAGCGAAGCGTTTGCTTCTCGCAGCAAAAAGATGCAATCACTGCGTGTGCAAAGTGCCAGCCTGGTCGGATCAGCACAGACACTCTGATGTGATCTGGACGAGGGCAAGACTGCAGATTTTCAAGTCTGTCTAATAATTGAATTATTTTCCCCATGTGGAAATAAGAACCAACCTAAATTGGTACAAATGTTCCCAGGGACTTTATTATTTTTTTAAACAACATTTACAGAGTAATTGAAGATGGCAGCCAATATGTTCATTTACCACAGATTAATGCTTTGGGTGTCAAATCATATATAATTGGACCTACAGAAATCATATGTGCTGATAATGTTTAGATCCTTCAAGATGGCCACTGTGGTCATCATAAAAAATTTATTTCTGAACTAAAATCACAAATTATATCAATCTGTTGGGCATCAATTGTAGCTTCATATTCTGAACCATAGAAATGATTTTTGATCCTGCATTTCCTTTTTCTGACAGACATTTTTCAAAATTGCCACAACTGTAATTGTGCTAAAATGGGGAGTAGCTAATGTTAGCTTCATTAGCCACTAACTAAGGGAAGACTCTCAGCTATGCTAAGGCTAAACCACTGAAAACAAAATGACCATAAGCTAACCATAAATAGCTAAACATAATCACAAGCTAATCTGCTAAATACATAAAATTACAAAAGCTAATGCTAAAATCCTGAACATAAATCAGGAGCTAACTCTAAACATGTAAAAATATTAGCGGAAACTAACGCTACACAAAATATTAGAAGTTAATACCAAACCTCTGAGCTTGTTTGATATACTTCAGTGCTTGATTTCTGTAAAACTTTCAGAAAGCACTATAAATAAAATACAAACAGGCTAAAGCTAATGCTAACCACTGAGACGACTGTAACTCAGTCGTCACACATGATCTCCAGTTGACGGGACTCTGACAAACAGCAAAGTCCTCAGTTTCAGTTTTAATATTTTGGTACACATCACTTTGAAATTATATAAATAAAATGACAGTCGTCGAAAACGCATTGTGTGACATCAAGCAGTGGTTGGTTTAAAAGGGTAAAGGGAAAATGGCCGTCAGCATTCAAAGCTAATGGGAAATATGTAAAAGTTAGCCCTTCAAAATAAATGCATCTAAATCAGTCAACAGGTTTTCAGTTGGTGGACAGTCTGACTCATGAGAAAACATTTCAGTCCTAATCCTTAAACATTTCTAACCGGGGACACAGAGGTGTGGCCTAACGGGCTTCGACCCGAGAGAAGAGGGATTCAAAAGACTTAGCAGGGCGACCAACTGGGTCCAACATCAACAGAGTCAGAACTGTTTGAAACGGCCCAGAGTCTGAAACATCAGTTCCAGTTCAGCCAGTGATACTAGGTTAACGACACACTTCAGTGATTACGCCATAAACTGCTAAAGGTCAGCAACACTCAATAATAAACATCAGGACAGACATGGAATCAATATCAATAGAGAACACAAGTGATTGAATATTCAATAACCTGGGAGATGCAGGCAGAGGAAAAGCTTTAGCTGCTCAGCTTCTCACAGCTAACTAGGCTAGCCAGGCTAGCTAGCCTAGCAAGGCTAGCTAGGCTAGCAGCATCAAATCACTCTCTCTTTGGTTGCTGAGCAACGACCTGCTGGGTACCTGGAGCAGAGGCATTTTCAGATTTCACCATTGAGCCTCATAACTGCTTAAATATGAAAAACACGGCATGTAAACAGGAAATGCCAAAATATATATATATAAATAACTGATGGACTTGTATGATAGTGACGTTATTTAGCCCTCGCTAATGCTAGTGTCACATATCGATTACAATGGCTGCTGTCACAGCATAACGTTCAATGCTTCCTATAAATCAAGTAAGAGTGGATTCTGTTGATAAAAATGTTTGGTTTTACTTTTAATTTGCTGTTCAATGTTCTCTAATAATCCAGAAACATTTTAGGGTTATTGTGACCTTAAAATACCAAACAGTGTCAGTTATTAAAAATGTTTAAATTGGATGATCAGGCCTTTTAAAGTGATCAGCCTGGAAACTGCAATCTGTCCCATTTTCATTCAAAGATAAATCTCTAAATTAGTATATATTATACTGGTTTATTTTATTAGCAGTAATGATAAAGGCTTGAAGTGGTGGACATAGCAGCCAGATCATCCCAAACCACAGGAAGTGGAAACAAACAGATGAATCTGTCGTATTGACGGGTTTCGGTCTGAATTAATGACATGCTTGGCAGATTTTAAATCCCCATCAGAAACAAATACCAGCATTGGTTCACCGCACAAGAAATTATACATTTCCTATTTTTATTTTTTATTTCCACCATAGCATAATTTTTGTAAATCTGAACCAGGTGAAGCTAAAACTCCCAGAGGGAAGAACACGTTTCCATCATAAATACCAAATGTACGCAGTTTGTAGTTTCGGCTCAATTATTAGTCTGAATGTTTTTTTTTCCAATAAAAGGCCTATATTGAGTCTGTATACTCCAGTCCAATGATTAATCACTAAATTAGTCGATTAATCATGATGAATCAATTAATCGTTTGTGTATATTTGATTCAGTGACCACCTAAAACCCAGACAGGAACTGATGTTTTCAAGCGGATGAGTTAAACGGGCTTCCTGAAGTCGGACTCTCAGAGAATCAATAATAAATGGATCTGTGGATCATTTTACTTGGCGTTCGCTCCGATCAGAGGCGGCTCCTGCAGGGAGAAACGGCCATCTCACCTGATCTGCCCCGTAGACCGCCGCAAACTCCAAAAACTCCTCGATGCGGACGAAGCCATCTCCATCCTGGTCCAAGGCGTCGAACACCGCTTTCAGAGAAGACATGTCGTCTTGGCTGGCGTTTCCCGCTGCCGCCGGCAGAGGAGGCTGGTTTAAATCAAAAGCCTCCACCTGATGCTGCCTCTCCTCTGAACCACCATCATCATCATGAACCTCCTCAGCAGTCAAACACAGATCCAGAGCCATTTCCTCCTGGTTTGACTGTGTTTTAGCAGAGTAACTACTTGGGTCTTCCATCAAATCCACAGCGTCTTCATCGTTTTCACTCCTTTCCTCAGAAGGAACATGGCCGCTTACAGCAGACTGAGCCTCATTTTTTGGTACAACAGAAGCAGGACTATCGAAATCCAACAAAGGCGGCGAATGGCAGCTCTCAGCAGAGCTGCTGGTTAAAGGCAGATCAGTCACTTGATCAGGGAATAAACCTTTGTCTCCGGTTTCAGGTGACAAAGTCTGAGAGGGAGGGACCGCTGCCTGCTCCTCTGCAGCAATCTGAGCGTTTAACTCGCTGGGCGAGTCCTGGGTGACCCCAGAGAGGTCAACCAGCAGAAACGGCTCTGCAGAATTCCTCCTGGAGACGTTAAAAGGAGAGCCGAGGCTTATTAGATCGCCCTGATCAGCGACGGCGTTGGATTCCTCATGGGAATCTGCTTTTAAAGTCAACTCCTTCCTCATCACGTCAGTCAGATTTGGAGAGAAGAGCCACGACAAAGTGCTGTCGCTGATTTCCTCAAAACTTTCAGTTAAAGTCAATCCTTGCAGGTAGGCGCTGGCTTGTTTGTCTTCCAGCTGCAGATCCTCACAGGAAAAAGCTGAGACTGTGATGAGGTCCTCCAGGGCTACAGGCTTTTCCACACTTTTCTGAGGCGCTGCATCGTTATAGTCACCTTTCCTGAAGTCCAAACCAGTCTGACCAGTACTGCTGGGACTCAGAACAGCTCTACAGTCTGGGTCCACTGGTTGAAATCCCAGCGGAAATGGCTGCTCTGGCTCCCACTGAGCATGCCCCACAGGGCCAGACACAACTGTGGGCTCCATCTACACAACCTGTTTGGTCAGGAAGCAGCTTTTCAAATTCACCGCCATGTTTTAATGGTCCAAACGTTGAATTCCCAGAGAACAAGAGTCAAACTATCAGTTCCGTTTAATTAAAACAGACCAACACTTGTAACCCGGTACCTGAACACACTGGACATGTTTTCACTCACAGCCTGCTTTCTTGTCATGATTGCTGAGCCAGAAAACATCCAACATCAGCTCTTCCTCCCCTCGCGGCCTCCGAGCCGAACCAGCACCAACGGCTGGACCTCAGGCGGTAATTAGCGCTACACAAAGCCGAAACGAGCTCCAGCTGTTGGGCTTGTTAAGCCGCCGTGTTTATGCCGGACAACCGGCTCTAACTCCTCCCTCGAGCATCTGCCTCCTCCGCGGCCATTGGTCGAGGCGGCTGCTAGCCGACTAGCTACACAAATTAGCCACTAGCGGCTAACAGGTTAACATTTCAGCCCTAATGAGCGAAAACGGCCAGTTTGTCCTATTTGGGGCTTATAATCCAGCGTTATGTCTTCATTTTTTCCCGTTTCCGTTTGTAACGCTCCCCTCCCCGCTCTGTCCACCTGTGCCAGCCGAGAGGCCAGCAGGAGTGACGAGTCCGAACCGTTATTTCCTCCTCACATCCGGCGTCGTTCTCCGGATCAGTGCCTCTCTTCTCCAGGAAAATACAGCTAAGGTGTTCAGAGGAGATTCGGTAGATCCGTGATGCGAGGTTCTGTCCACCGATGTTGATCAGACAGAGAAAGCTCTCGCATCAGCATCAGCAGCGTCCCATCCTCCTCCTCCGCCTCCTCCAGCCGCATACACTCAGCGATGACGTCAGACGCACGCATAGAAAATACCCCGCAGTGTGAGGCTCCACAGCAGCTTTCCACCGGAAGTTGTTGTACAAAACATAACGTCGATGGAAACCGCGTATTTACATACAGTGTTTGTAAAAATATATATATGACATTTTCCGTTCACTGGAAAACTTTAAACCATATTTAACCGTTAGTTCTGTTTTAGGTCGACTAGGGCAGGGGCGATACCAAGTGGGGACCCCCGGGGGCCAAGACACCCTCTCGAAATATCGAGTCATGTTTAGATCATAGAAAGGCATACAGACACATCTTCTTCCAAAACTAAAATAAAATAAATCTTTGAAAATAAAACAAAATATATTAACTTTAATTCAGACGGCTACAAGAAATCGTTCATGCGTCTTTCATCATTCAAATATCTGAGTTTGAGAAATTGACAAAGTTAATATAAAAACCTTCAAATGTTAAAAATTTTGACTTTTTAAACTCAGGAATTTCCAATTTTTGGAGAAAATTTCTGAGATTAGTTACAAAAATTTTTCTAGCAAATTTTCAACATTTGTGGCTGAGAAGATATGTTGTTTTAACTAGAAATGTTTTAATTTTAGCAGATATTTACTATAATTTCTGATAAGAAAAAGTTTACTTTAAAGTGATTTTAATACATCCTTATTATCCCTAATGCACATATATAAAGACACACACACACGCACACACACACATACATTCATAAGTTTTTGCTTTTTGTCTACGCTGCCTTACACTTAAAACCCTATTAGCCAGACCTTTGAAAATTTTCTGTGCACAACATTGAGTCACAATAATCAAATCCAGATCATTGTTTGACTTTCTTCAAAGTCAGTAGCTTACTTGCAGTAAGCTAAAAATAATAATAACAATGATAAATAACAGAATAAAACAAAAATAAGGGCAATATTTCATCGTTTCATAATAATGAGCCACTGAGCTGCTCGTCGATGTATTTACAGGATTCTGGCGCCCCCTGCTGTCATTCAGCAGAACTGCATCACATTAAAACTTAATCACATTTTAAACAATTTAAATTAAATTCCAGCTTTAAACTGTTTCGTAGATAATAGTTTAAAGCTGAGAAGGCAAGTTGTCATAGCAACAACTGAATAGAAAGATTTTAATTGCTGAATAAATCAAAGGAAATGTTTTACAGTACTGACAAACTGGATTGTTGCTTTACATACAACAACGTATTTGGGTGGACAGAAAAAAGAGGAAGAAATTTCTGCCAAAACACTGAAAAAATGTAAGATTTCTAGGATTATTTTGAAAAGTATAAACTTTCCTCAAAAAAACTTTTGCAATTTTTAATCTATCCCAGTTTTTTTCTTTATTTTCAGCCAGGATTAAAATTTTTGACATTTTAATTTTTCAAGGTCTGGTGTCAGGATACTTTCTAGAAAATGTTTGATATTGATCTTAAAAATTTTGACATTTCAAAATTGAAAATTCAAAAAATTTAAATATGAGACTTTAGAATTTCCAGGTTTTTTCTATAAAATCTTTAAGATATTTTTCTAGAAAATTTTTCACTTTTTGAACTCAGAAATATCAAAGGTGTTTCAAGAAAATTTCAGGAATTAATATCAAAATCTTTGAGATTTTTTTAAAATAATTTTTTTCTAAGAAATATCACATTTTTTGTCTGAAATGTACTAATTTATTAATCCTAATGCACGGTTGTAATTCCTTATAAACAGTATGAACATAATTTATTTGTGTTCTTCTCTACTAGAAACCTTCCAACACCTAAAGCAGCAGAATGCATAATAAACATAAACATTGTCCATAAGTTGCATAATTTCTTTAGAAAGGTCCTGATTTCTCCTGATCACTTGTCCTTCTTCTTTTCCGGTGACCAGTAACCTGCAGGAATGAAATGAATGTAATTATTAGATATTCATATTTCTGTTTGGACAATCAGAGCCTTTCTCCGTAGGAGCGTTTCTCCAGAAGCTGCACCTCCTCCTACCCACCTGGTCAGGAGGAGGACTCACAGCTTAGCGCGTTTAGAGGCGGCTATACCCAGCAGCGCCGAGACGTCGTTGGGCGAAGTCAGCCACGCCCCGCCGTCCGCCACCAAGATGGCCCCCGTCACGTAGGAAGACGCTCGGCTGGCCAGGAAGAGAGCGCAGTGGGCCATCTCCGTCTTGTTGCCGGCTCGCTGCAGAGGAACAGCCTGGAACGAACCTGCGGCCTCGGCACCAGGACCGCCTGAAACAACGGCAAGCAAGTCAGGCATGTTTTCTACGACAGAGGAGAACATTTCTGCTGAAAAACCTTCAAGATAAAAGAAAATAAACAAGGGAATTTCTGAGGTCCAAAAGTAAAAAATTTGCACAAAATGACTCAAACATTTCTGTGCTACAAAATTTTTAAATTTAACTGAGAAAAAATCTGAAATGTTGACAGTAACTTTAGAAACTTTCTGGAATGTTTTTTCTCCAAAAGTCGTAAATTTTTGACTTTTGAATTTCACAAGTTGGAAATTTCATCAGAACAGATTAAAAACAATAAATATCTGTTGAGCTCATAGGTCTAATTACTTAATAAGTTAGCAACAAAAGTGGGTTTTTAAAATGTTGCTCATTTTGTCCATGCGTAAGTTTAGGATTAAAATTGCCATTAATTAAAAAACTTTAATTGAGTCGCACCAGTAATCTAATGGGCTCAATGTTTACCGAGTCTGCGGTAACCCTCAGTACCAGAGATCGGACCCGGGGCCACGGCGTTGACCCGTACTCCGCTGGGCCCCCACTCCACTGCCAGGTGCTTCGTCATAGCATCTAAAACACAGCAGCTTCCCGTCATTTATTTATCATTCTCACATTAAAGCAGGAAATAAAACCAGGATTGTTCCCACCGTTTGCTGCCTTGGCAGAGCCAGCGTGAACCTGCAGGGCCTGCCCTCGGTACGCCAGCGTGGCCGAGATGTTCACCACGTTGCCACCATGATCCTGGGAAAGCAGCCGCACTTGTTAGCGTTAGCATGAAGAGCATAATTCACTGAAAAACATTTAGCAAACTTACTGCCCTCTTTTAGCAGCTAAGAAAAGTCCAATTTATATGATCCTGCCTCTTTAAAAGATGCATGTAATTCAGTTACAATACTTCCTGTAGTATTCTTTGTCGTTTCTGCCAGTAGTAATATCCAGTTGTTGGTCATGTGATTTGTATGATGCGGAAAAAAAGTATTTCCATTGCAGTTTTGCAAAAATAAATGAATTTCAATATGAAATACGTCAAAACTTTCTTCACAAAAACACGTTGTTGTTTTTAATTAGCGTGTTTCCATTAAACAAATTTGTTTCAGAATTTCAAATTGTGCAGTTATATAATCAATGGAAACAGAGCTACTATCTGAAGTAAAATCAGACCAAACTTCTCTTGTTTTAGCTTCATTAGAATTAACAAATTATTTCTATTTGCTAAATGCCAGACATATTAGAAAAACATTGTTTTCAGATTTTTTTGCAACTGTCTTTGAATTCAGAAGTTTAAATGTTTGGTCAGTATCAGGGTCTTTAAAACTGGATCCAAGTCAAAATATACACTTCCTTTCTAATAATGGAAGATATTTTTTCATTGATTTAAAGTGAACTGTTTCAGATTAAATCACATTTTGAAGAATAAACATGTTTTTGTTTTTATGAAAACACAGATGGAGTCCCGTACCTTGAACCATTTCTCATAAACCACCTTGCTGGTGTTGAACGTTCCCATGGTGTCGATCTCCAGGACGGTTTTGAAAGCGTTGAAAGAGAGTGCAGAGGCAGGACAGAGGAAGTTTCCAGCAGCATCTGTGTTAAATCAGTTTTTTCACTGTCTCTAAAGAGGGATTTATGTACGGAGTACCACAACTGACATAATGAAGAATAAAAGCAGAAATATATATACATTTTGTTTTTCCTCACATCCATTTCTTGACAAAGACGCACATGGAAAGGGATAGAATAAACTCTGCTGCATTTCATTAAAACTGCATCATTTTGGGGGGAATTGAGGTGAGCAGACGCGATGCGGGTTAAATCACGTACTGTTGATCAGGATGTCCAAACGGCCGAACTCCTTCAGCGTCTCGTCCACAGCGGCTGCGATGCCATCAGGCTGCCTCACATCGATTCGCAGCGGGAGGCAGCGTCGTCCTGCAGCAGCCGACAGCTTCGCCGCCGCCTGGAAAACATTTTCATGAAGTCGACGCAGAGCTGTGGTACATAGATAATATTCTACCAGAACTGGGAAAATATTAAGAAAACCTCTTTCAGCTTGTCCAGGTTCCTGCTGGCGATCACCGTGTCACAACCATGTCTGGAAAAGACAGATAATAAATAATTATTGAACTCTGATATCAAGAAGATATTTAGCAGAAGCTAATGCTAAAACGCTATGCCACTGTGCTACTTAGCAGAGCTAATCCCAAATTGCTACACCAACCAGATATTTAACAAAAACTACCAACCCACCACCACTAGCAGGCATTGCTAGCTAAAATGTTAGCTGCACTAACTCTAAAACACTAATGAACAATAGTTCCACTAATGTGAAAGTTTATAACAGCATGACGTTTATTTCAAGGCAGTGCTAAAGTGCTACACCACCGTTGTATTTAGCAGCATCTAATGCTAAATCGCTAAATTCAACAAAGGTGTTTATACCCAAACATCAGCAAACATAGCAGTGAGTGCTAATCCCAAAGCACCAATCATTAGCTGCGCTAAAGCTAAAGCGCTACACCAACATTTTATTCAGTGGAAGCTAATGCTAACGTGCTAATTTCAACAATGTTGATTTCGATTACCACCACGGGTTTCCAGTATTAACTAAAGCACCAATCACAAACATCAGCTCCACTGTTGCCAATGTGCTAAAATAATAATAATAATAATAATAATAATAATAATAATAATAATATATCTAGCTAGGTTTTTTTGTTCCTGGCCTTAATAAACAGCAGATTAAAACAGAAATCAGTAAACAGACGGGAAATCCTTCACCTCATGAAGATCTCAGCAATACGAAGTCCTATTCCAGATCCGCCTCCTGTGATGAAAGCAACTTGATCTCTAAAACAAAACAAGATCATCACATCTCTCTCAAGCAGTGAGACAAAAATACAGCATAAATCCAAGAAATCCCAAATAGATACAAACAAATTAGGATTGGATGCTTACTTTAGTAAATCTGGGCTGTAGATGTGTGTGTATGAAGCCAAGCAGTCATCTGAACCAACATCTTCAGGAAGTTCTTCTCTTCTTCTGTGTTCTGCCATTCTGATGGGAAACAGAGGCTAAATTATAATGTACGGAGGCCGGCAGACGGAAACACACAGCAAACTGTGAGAGGCGAGGCAAACATGCATGATTCAAACTCCAAAATACACAACAACAAATTTTAAAAAGTTACACAAATAACTAAAACATCAGCACATATGGAGCTCTGCAAAGTCCCCCAGACCACTAGGGGGAGCTCATCACCAAATCCCAAGCTACCAGAAACAGGAAAGATGGGATGAGAAGAAAGTTGGAAAAAGAAAGAGAACATGTTATCCTTCATATTTTTACAAAATTATAGAACTCCAGCATAGTTGAGTATTTTCTTACTGCAGACTCCCCCTAGTGGTCTGGAGGACTCCTGTTTTGTTAAGCAAGCTTCCAGTATTTTATACTTGCTGTTTTCTTTCTTAAAAACCTGAAAACTGGATATGGAAAAAATAATGGATCCATTTTCTTCCTCTGCACAACTTTTCCTAAAATCCAGAGAATTTTATGCAACAAAATGTAAAAGAGGGGTGTGAATACTTTTCCAAAGTCTCTGCTGCTGTGTTCCGGTTTCCAGTACATCCCAGTTTGAGCTTAAAAGGATCAAACCGGGAAGCAAAGAAACACTTTATTTTGTTTACTTGACTAAATTCTGGCCTCAAAGTCAAACATTCCTCTAGTTTATTGGAGAATCTCTATAAAACTTTAACTCACTCTGTTCTCTCCGGTCCAGTTAAAGTCGGTTCTGTCGGTTCGGTTGTTGCAGGAAATGAACTGGTTTCGGTTCTGGTTCTGTTCAGCGCGACTGAAGAACCACAAACTAAAACCCAAATTTGTCACAGAGAAATTCTTCAGGTCTGTTCCTCTGGCTCTGCAGGAGAACAACATGGACCTTGGACGTTGAACGCAGTTCCACTGATGCATTCTGGGTAATGAAGTCTTTTCCTGTAATTGTTCATCTCCGTTCCTAAAAGTCTCATTTCTCCGGCAGAGAATTAAATCTATCCTTTAATAAATACTCATGAAAAATAGAGAAATAAAATTATGAAAATAAAGTCAAAATAATACGATAATAAATCTTAATAAAATTATTTAGTAATATTTTATGGCGGACATAGAAAAAAAAAGTAGTGATAAATTTATGCCAAAACATCGAATCAGAAATTTGCAAACAAAAACTCAGTAATGTCCGAAATGTTCCGGAACAAAAAGTTAATTTCTGACCCATAAGCGTCAAGAATATGCTAGAAAAAAAATTCAAATTTTATCTCAGAAATTTTCTAGAACATATTTTATTTGATGCTCGTCGTTTTCCGTCAGAGCCGAACGACCCGTCGGGAATTTCCGCCACAGGCAGTTTCAGCCTTACTGCTGAGTGGTCTTTTAAAGCCATCCATATGGAGCTAAACTGGTGCCAAAAAGTTTGTTCAAAAGAAAAATATCTTTAAAATGAAACAAAGAATATTTGAAACTGAAAACTTATTTTGAAACTGATGAAAATATTTGAAAGAAAAGTGAAAGAAAAGTACAACTATTCTAAATGTATGGAACTAATATGGGGCCCTGGTTTGTTTCATAAGAATATTTCAAAACTGGAAAAAAAAAAGTTTAGAACTGAAAACAAACAGGTAAAAAATGTTCAAACTTCTTCTTGAATTCAAGCTTTTTTTTCTAAGTTTCTAAATAATTTTTTAGATTCAGATTTTTCTTTTCAACCAACTTTGTAGCACCAATTTAGCTCCATACACCCAGAGCAGAAATACTCATCAGAACTCAAGTTTTAATTCTTTTTTGCCTCCATGATGAACAACCAGGATCCAAACATCATGAGATGACAAACCCAAATAAAACAAATTTAAAATAAATACTAAAACATATTTCACTTGTTTATTTTTATTTTTTTTATTAGAAACATGCCTTTTCTTAGAAAAACAAGAAACAGAATATGTAATACAATGTCCAGGAGTATAGACATTACAAACATTAGAATAAGTTAAAAATATTCAGTGACTTGCAACATTCAGTTTTTTGTTGCAAATAAACGTAGATCAAGTTTTTAAATAAAAACTGTACCAAAAAGTGAACATAATAAAAAAGTATATTTGTGAGTAAAAAAATTGATGAAATTAATTGCCAGTTTTCTTCAGCTGAAGCTTCATGTCATTTATTTTAGGCAGCAGCATGCAACTGTTTGGCAGACAGGGGGCGCTGCAGGCCAACTTTCTTTAACAGAAACTCCAGCACAGAAGAACAGTCTCTGACAAAAGTGATTATTTTAAACATCTTTAATTAAACTTTCTGCCTTTTTATTTAAAGGGGTAACTTTAAATACCGCTTTTCAAGTAGTTTTACTTTTACTTGAGTAAAATCTTTGGTTAATTGTGGACAAATTTAATATTATAAAAGACTAAAAGAAAAAGTTTAGATCTTGAAGTGCCACAGAAAATGAATCCAATGGTCACAAACCGGCCCTGGAGTCATATCTTGTACCCTCTTGTTCAAAGTGAAGCTAATTTCCAGCTGGTTCTGGTTCTGTGGGTCCGGCTGTGGCTGGAAGCAGCGTGTCGGCCTGCAGGCCCACCAGCCTGCTGCTGACCTCCCACAGCCGCCGCGCCGCCGCGTCGTCCAGCGCCTGCGGCGCCGGCTCCTTCTCCGTCATCACGTCGTAGTAGCGACCCGTCACGCCCGCCATTTCCTCTGCCACGGCCAGAAACACGCTGGGCTGGGCGCCAAGCTCCGGACTCTTCACCAGCAAGGAGAAGAACGGGCCTGAGGCAGAGGAGGAGGAGGCGAACAGCAACTCGTCAAAAATCAGTAGATTTTGTTAGGATTTCTGATCACAGCTAAACATGAAGTAGTAAAGTGAAACTAAACCCAATATAAAAATTAAGCTCCGCCCACAGAGCTTTTCTGAAACGTTCCAAGGATGAGGGCTTGGAGGAGATGTGGGCGTGGCTTATAGACGATGTGGACGTGGCTAATGGTAGGAAGGCGCGGAGGGCGTTTTCCAAAAATCGACTTTTCTCAAAGAAACTAGTGGCAACAAATAAACTTTTATTAAAAAAATCCAATAGTGACAAATTTTGCAATTTTTCGCAAAAAGCAACATTTTCAAATAACCACAAAAGCAACAAATCTAGCGACTTTTTAAAATAAGCAACTAGACACAAATCTAAGGAACTAGACAAATCTAGTTCAAACCTGAATTCAATTGAGGACTTGCATAAAGACGTTAAATTTTCTGTTTAGATTTTCAGTTGAAACTGCAGTGAAAAGTTTCTCCAGTTGCTCACAGGATCTATATCGAGGTGTACTCCACACTTTTCAGATCGTCAGGTGATTTTTTTAAAGTACTTTTGGTTGCAGTGATGTTTCCTGAGGGTTGTCAGATTGTCTGAAACAGATGCATGCCACACTTTTCAGATGTTTCTCTATTGAAAACCTAATGAACGGTTCAGCAGACTCACTGAGAACGGTGGTGGAGAACTGCGACTGGTGCAGGCCGGTGTGTCTGCCGAGGTCCGTGGCGACGACCCCAGGGTGCACGGCGTTCACCGTCACTCCGGTGCCTGTCACACACACACACACACACACACACACACACACACACACACACACACACACACACACACACACACACACACACACAGCTCAGGTTAGAACACCGCGTTCATCGCACACCGCCTCCCACACCGAGCGCAGCGGCTGGCGGACTCGCCTTCGAGCCGCTTGGCGAGTTCCCTGGTGAACAGAACATTGGCCAGTTTGCTCTGACAGTACGCCTGCTTCGTGTCGAATTTCTTCCTCTCCCAGTTCAGGTCGTCGAAGTCGATCTTTCCAACGATGTGGGCGAGCGAGGCCAGGTTGATCACACGACTGGGGGCGGAGTCTCTCAGCTTCTCCAGCAGGAGGTTCGTCAACAAGAAGTGGCCTGGAGGAAGTCAGAGGCGTAGAAAAGGTTTAAAGTTTAAGAGAAACCTTCTTACTGCGAGCAAACAGGCAATAAATCAATTAAGTGCATAACAGATTCAAACAAACTCAATCATTTCCACTTGCATGGTTTCTTGTTTTTCTCTTTTTACCAGAAGCTGGATGATAAAAGTCTTCAGTCTGGTGCTTTGGTATCAACTTGCCCTTTTTCAAAGAATAATTTTGTTTATAATTTATTTTATTTGCTGTTATGTTGATTTATTTTCCATATTTAAAGCTTTTCAATAAATCAAGTTTATTTATTTGTATAGCACATTTAGAAAAGGCATAAAAATAAGATGCAGTCACAAATGAGAGAAATAAATATTATATTTTACAGCACTAAATGACAATAATTCAAAAAATAACAGTCAGAAAAAAGTAAATTTTTACAAATCAGTTTTTTCAATAAAAAAACGTATGAAACTTTAACCTGCAGGTCTGTGTCTGAGTCTATAGATTTTGGGTTCAAATAGTTTGTTGTTCATTCAGACAGGAAAAAAATTAAAACTTTTACTCAAGTAAGAGAAGAAATACTTCGTAATAAAATTACTCAAGTAAAAGTAAAAATCTTCAGCATAATAAAAATATTCCTGAAAGTACGTTTTTAAAAAAAGTTACTCAAGTAAATGTAATTGAGTAAAAGTAACTAGTTACTACCCAACTGTGCTTTTTGGCTAGTAGAGTTAGCAAACACCATATTTACAAATAGTTGGACTGTTCTTAGTGTTTGATAAAAAGAAATATTTGGAAATAAAATGTTGGAAAGTATGAGAAAATTTCCCGAGGAAAAAAACTCCAAGGGGTTCTTCTCTGTAAGTGACTGAGAAACACAAATACATGCCACACTTTTCAGATTTGTAACAGTGAAAATGTCTGGAAAACCGTTTCTCTTCTTTCTGTTTGTTTTGCGCTTTTACCGGTGAAGTTGGATGAAACTCTACCTAAATGGTTCACTCCCAGCTGCATGTCGAAGCCGTCCTCCGTCTTCCCCTCCGGACACCGCATGACTCCGGCGTTGTTGATCAAGATGTCCACGCTCTTCTCCTCTGCAATAAAACAGCAGGTTCGTTAGAAACTCTGCCTCATGTTTCCTGGGTTTGGTTGGGTTCGGTTTGCACCTTGATTGATTCTCTCTGCGAACTCTCGGATGGAGCTCATGGAGGCCAGGTCCAGCCGCCGCGCATAAACATGCGGGTTCAGCGTCTTCCCTCGGATCTCCTTCGCTGCCTCTTCACATTTCGCCATGTCGCGGCATCCCATAATGATCCGACCCCCTGGAGAGCCAAGAAACGGTGCGTCAGAAACCGCGTTTCCATGACAACGATATTCCACTAATGTTGGGGACTTCCGGTTTGATCCATTATGGCGGATCGCGCTTCCTGAAGCTCCCTGTTTAACACTAGTATTGTAACTTATTGTGAACGCAACAATATTCATCGTAGAATCACGACCAATGAGACAATGACCAACAGAACGTAAAAACGGGAGCATCTAACGGCTATGCTAACGGCTATGCTAGCAGGCCATAAGAAATCCCTCTCAGCAGATTCAATGTTCTTAAAGCTCGAAATAAATATTCCGCTAATTAAAAATAAATTTCATTAGTGGTATTTCTGGTAAATAAGAAACGTAACTAAGATAACGTGTAAATAAGTTTGATTACATGATAAATCATTAAACATAAATAAACACCGTCCTCCAACTGCTTCCTGTTATGGACGTCTTCATGGTTTGCAACAGTGGCAGAATCCGGTTGGTGATCATGTCAATGTTTTGAGGAATACACCAATTTGATGCGGCCAAAAAATAATAGATAATAATAATAAAAAAAGAGACCTGTCAAAACTTTTTATTGAAAAAAACTATAAAAAAAAAAAAAATTCCCTTCTCACCCACCGCGGGTGGTTCTTATCCTCTGAGCTCGGGTCCTCTACCAGAGGCCTGGGAGCTTGAGGGTTCTGCGCAGTATCTTGGCTGTGCCAAGGACTGCACATTTCTGGACTGAGATGTCTGATGTTGTTCCTGGGATCTGTTGTAGCCACTGCTCCAGTTTGGGGGTTACTGCCCCGAGGGCCCCGATGACCACAGGCACCACTGTGGTCTTCACCTTCCAGGCCCTCTCCAGTTCCTCCCTGAGGCCCTGGTATTTCTCTAGTTTCTCGTGCTCCTTTTTCCTGATGTTGCAATCACTTGGTATTGCTACATCTACCACAACGGCTTTCCTCTGATGTTTATCCACTACGACAATGTCTGGTTGGTTCGCCATTACCATTTTGTCTGTCTGGATCTGGAAGTCCCACAGGATCTTAGCTCTGGTGTTCTCTACCACCTTTGGGGGTGTTTCCCACTTTGATCTCGGGGTTTCCAGTCCATATTCTGCACAGATGTTTCTGTACACTATGCCTGCCACTTGGTTATGTCGCTCCATGTACGCTTTCCCTGCCAGTATCTTGCACCCTGCTGTGATGTGCTGGACTGTCTCAGGGGCCTCCTTGCACAACCTACACCTTGGGTCTTGTCTGGTGTGGTAGATCTGGGCCTCTATTGCTCTGGTGTTTAGGGCCTGTTCCTGGGCTGCCAGGATGAGAGCCTCTGTGCTGTCCTTGAGTCCAGCTTTTTCCAGCCATTGGTAGGATTTACTGATATCAGCCACTTGGGTTATTTGCTGGTGGTACATCCCATGTAGGGGTTTGTCCTCCCATGATGGTATCTCTGGCACCTCAACCTCCGTTCCTGTTGTCTGAGACATTCACTGAGCACATTGTCTGTTGAGGCTTTGTCCCTGATGTATTTATGGATCTTAGTTGTTTCGTCCTGGACAGTGGTTCTCACACTCACTAGTCCTCTGCCTCCTTCCTTGCGGCTCGTGTACAGTCTCAGGGTGCTGGATTTGGGATGGAACCCTCCATGCATTGTTAGTAGCTTTTCTGGTCTTAATATCTGTGGCTTTTATCTCCTCCTTTGGCCAGCTAATTATTCCAGCAGGGTATCTGATTACTGGCAAGGCATAGCTGTTTATCGCACAGATTTTGTTCTTGCCATTGAGCTGGCTTCTCAGGACTTGCCTTATTCGTTGGAGGTATTTAGCTGTGGCTCCTTTCCTTGTGACCTCATCGAGGTTGCCATTTGCTTGGTATACCTAGGTACTTGTAACTGTCCTCTATGTCTGCTATTGTTCCTTCTGGAGTGAGACCCCTTCTGTGTGGATGACCTTCCCCCTCTTTGTGACCAGCCGACCACATTTCTCTAGTCCGAATGACATCCCAATGTCAGTGCTGTAGATCCTGGTGGTGTGGATCAGTGAGTCGATGTCTCGCTCACACTTGGCGTACAGCTTGATGTCATCCATGTAGAGTAGGTGACTGATATTGGCCCCATTTTGAGTCTGTATCCGTAGCCAGTCTTGTTGATAACTTGGCTGAGGGGGTTCAGGCCTATGCAGAACAGTAGCGGGGACAGAGCATCTCCTTGGTATATGCCACATTTGATGGACACTTGTGCAAGTGGTTTGCAGTTGGCTTCAAGGGTGGTTTTCCACAGCCTCATCGAGTTTGCAATGAAGGCTCTCAGAGTCCTGTTGATGTTATACATCTCTAAGCATTCAATGATCCAAGTATGCGGCATTGAGTCATAGGCTTTCTTGTAATCAATCCAAGCCATGCACAGGTTGGTGTGTCGGGTTTTGCAGTCTCAGGCAACTGTGCGGTCTACGAGGAGTTGGTGTTTGGCTCCTCTGCTATTTACACCGATACCCTTCTGTGCCGTGCTCATGTGTTTATCCATGTGTTTGCTTATCTTGGCCGCTATGATGCCTGACATGAGCTTCCAGGTTGTGGAGAGGCAGGTTATTGGTCGGTAGTTGGGTGGGACTGGACCCTTTGATGGATCCTTCTGGATTAGGATTGTCCGCCCTTCAGTTAACCATTCAGGGTGAGTCCCACTTTGTAGCAGCTGGTTCATTTGGGCTGCCATTCGCTCATGGAGAGCAGTGAGTTTCTTTAGCCAGTAGGCATGGATCATGTCAGGCCCTGGTGCTGTCCAGTTTTTCATACCTGAGACTCTTTCTTGGACATCTGTCACAGTGATGGTTACCGGGGCTTGTTCAGGGAGGTTGCTGTGGTCCTCTCGTAGAGAGATCAGCCACTGTGCATTGCTGTTGTGGGACGCCTCCCTTTCCCATATGCCTTTCCAGTATTGTTCCGTCTCCAGCCTTGGTGGGTCTGCTCTGTTGTTATTGTTACCCTGCCATTGAGAGTACACCTTAGCTGGTTGAGTGGAGAAGAGCCGGTTAATCCTTCTGGATTCATTCTCCCTTGTGTATCTCTTTAGGCGGCTGGACAAGGCTTGGAGCCTCTGTTTGGCAGTCTCGAGTGCTTCAGGTATGGGCATCTGCCTGTACTTTCTGGGTACTGGTCTTTTCATTGCACCCTTGTGGAGCTCTGACAGTTGGCTCACTTCCCTCCTTGTTACCTTGATTTTAGCCTCTAACCGTTTTTTCCATGGTGGGTATTGGGTCTCATGGTTGCTCTTATAGCCAAGTATCTCAAGGATCACTGATGCTGAGTGTAGATCAGCTCATTAGTTTCTGTTATGGTGTTGGTAGGGATCGTTCTCAATGCTGCATTCACATTCTCAATGAGACTTTCAGATGGTACTTCACTCAGCCGTTGTAATTGGCGCCGGGGAGGCCTGGTTGTCATTCGGATCATGATTCTCTCTCTCAGGTCAGCAGCTGTCTCGTCCAGTCAGCTATGTCAATGTCTATGTCAACATTGTGGGTGTGTACAGTATATATATATATATATATATATATATATATATATATATATATATATATAGCTCAATACATAAGGCATCAGTATATCACCCGAGAGGGCAGGGTTCGAATCCAGTCTGGGTCCTTAGGCAAGACCCTTCAAGCTACTGCCTACCTCATACCATGAGAGATACTAAGTTGCATAACATGCCGGCTCAGACGTCGCCCGGCCAAACAAGGTCTGCGTCAGGTGTTGGGGAACCAGAGCACCTTGATGACAAATGGGCTACTGGAACAAGACGGAAATGGGCGAGAGATGAAAATGTGGATCTGTTGGAATGCTACTACTCAAGTAACCCTAGTGAGAGAGGTTACATGCAAAGACTGGGGAAGGAATGGTTACTTCGACATCCCCAGTCAACACTAAGCGCTAAACAACTAGTAGCTCAGTGTTCCAACATCCGCAAACGGCAACTGCTATCACAACTTGAGATTGACGAGATACAAACACAAATGCTACGGCAAAAGGGAGGAACCCGGATGTCAGGACTGTGGGGACTTAACTACAAGTCCCCACCCAGTGAGGGGATACACGGCCCCAATGAGCGAAACAGAGCTGAACGAGACAGCTGCTGACCTGAGAGAGAGAATCATGACCCGAATGACAACCAGGCCTCCCCGGCGCCAATTACAACGGCTGAGTGAAGTACCATCTGAAAGTCTCATTGAGAATGTGAATGCAGCATTGAGAACGATCCCTACCAACACCATAACAGAAACCAATGAGCTGATCTACAACTCAGCATCAGTGATCCTTGAGATACTTGGCTATAAGAGCAACCATGAGACCCAATACCCACCATGGAAAAGACGGTTAGAGGCTAAAATCAAGGTAACAAGGAGGGAAGTGAGCCAACTGTCAGAGCTCCACAAGGGTGCAATGAAAAGACCAGTACCCAGAAAGTACAGGCAGATGCCCATACCTGAAGCACTCGAGACTGCCAAACAGAGGCTCCAAGCCTTGTCCAGCCGCCTAAAGAGATACACAAGGGAGAATGAATCCAGAAGGATTAACCGGCTCTTCTCCACTAAGGTGTACTCTCAATGGCAGGGTAACAATAACAACAGAGCAGACCCACCAAGGCTGGAGACAGAACAATACTGGAAAGGCATATGGGAAAGGGAGGCGTCCCACAACAGCAATGCACAGTGGCTGATCTCTCTACGAGAGGACCACAGCAACCTCCCTGAGCAAGCCCCGGTAACCATCACTGTGACAGATGTCCAAGAAAGAGTCTCAGGTATGAAAAACTGGACAGCACCAGGGCCTGACATGATCCATGCCTACTGGCTAAAGAAACTCACTGCTCTCCATGAGCGAATGGCAGCCCAAATGAACCAGCTGCTACAAAGTGGGACTCACCCTGAATGGTTAACTGAAGGGCGGACAATCCTAATCCAGAAGGATCCATCAAAGGGTCCAGTCCCACCCAACTACCGACCAATAACCTGCCTCTCCACAACCTGGAAGCTCATGTCAGGCATCATAGCGGCCAAGATAAGCAAACACATGGATAAACACATGAGCACGGCACAGAAGGGTATCGGTGTAAATAGCAGAGGAGCCAAACACCAACTCCTCGTAGACCGCACAGTTGCCTGAGACTGCAAAACCCGACACACCAACCTGTGCATGGCTTGGATTGATTACAAGAAAGCCTATGACTCAATGCCGCATACTTGGATCATTGAATGCTTAGAGATGTATAACATCAACAGGACTCAGAGAGCCTTCATTGCAAACTCGATGAGGCTGTGGAAAACCACCCTTGAAGCCAACTGCAAACCACTTGCACAAGTGTCCATCAAATGTGGCATATACCAAGGAGATGCTCTGTCCCCGCTACTGTTCTGCATAGGCCTGACTCAAAAATGGGGACATCAAGCTGTACGCCAAGTGTGAGCGAGACATCGACTCACTGATCCACACCACCAGGATCTACAGCACGGACATTGGGATGTCATTCGGACTAGAGAAATGTGGTCGGCTGGTCACAAAGAGGGGGAAGGTCATCCACACAGAAGGTCTCACTCCCAGAAGGAACAATAGCAGACATAGAGGACAGTTTACAAGTACCTAGGTATACCACAAGCAAATGGCAACCTCGATGAGGCCACAAGGAAAGGAGCCACAGCTAAATACCTCCAACGAATAAGGCAAGTCCTGAGAAGCCAGCTCAATGGCAAGAACAAAATCCGTGCGATAAACAGCTATGCCTTGCCAGTAATCAGATACCCTGCTGGAATAATTAGCTGGCCAAAGGAGGAGATAAAAGCCACAGATATTAAGACTAGAAAGCTACTAACAATGCATGGAGGGTTCCATCCCAAATCCAGCACCCTGAGACTGTACACGAGCCGCAAGGAAGGAGGCAGAGGACTGGTGAGTGTGAGAACCACTGTCCAGGACGAAACAACTAAGATCCATAAATACATCAGGGACAAAGCCTCAACAGACAATGTGCTCAGTGAATGTCTCAGACAACAGGGAACGGAGGTTGAGGTGCCAGAGATACCATCATGGGAGGACAAACCCCTACATGGGATGTACCACCAGCAAATAACCCAAGTGGCTGATATCAGTAAATCCTACCAATGGCTGGAAAAAGCTGACTCAAGGACAGCACAGAGGCCCTCATCCTGGCAGCCCAGGAACAGGCCCTAAACACCAGAGCAATAGAGGCCCAGATCTACCACACCAGACAAGACCCAAGGTGTAGGTTGTGCAAGGAGGCCCCTGAGAAAGTCCAGCACATCATAGCAGGGTGCAAGATACTGGCAGGGAAAGCGTACATGGAGCGACATAACCAAGTGGCAGGCATAGTGTACAGAAACATCTGTGCGAATATGGACTGGAAACCCCAAGATCAAAGTGGGAAACACCCCCAAAGGTGGTGGAGAACGCCAGAGCTAAGATCCTGTGGGACTTCCAGATCCAGACAGACAAAATGGTAATGGCGAACCAACCAGACATTGTCGTAGTGGATAAACATCAGAGGAAAGCCATTGTGGTAGATGTAGCAATACCAAGTGATTGCAACATCAGGAAAAAGGAGCACAAGAAACTGGAGAAATACCAGGGCCTCAGGGAAGAACTGGAGAGGGCCTGGAAGGTGAAGACCACAGTGGTACCTGTGGTCATCGGGGCCTTCGGGGCAGTAACCCCCAAACTGGAGCAGTGGCTACAACAGATCCCAGGAACAATCAGACATCTCAGTCCAGAAATGTGCAGTCCTTGGCGCAGCCAAGATACTGCAGGACCCTCAAGCTCCCAGGCCTCTGGTAGAGGACCCGAGCTCAGAGGATAAGAACCACCCGCGGTGGGTGAGAAGGGAATTTTTATATATATATATATATATATATATATATATATATATATATATATATATATATATATATATATATACATATTTATTTTTATTTTTTTAAAACACAGTTACTAGCAAGAAACACCCAGAATAAGTAAAGAAGTGTTGTGTCTGCAGACCTCTGTTGGCCAGTTCTCTCGCCGTCTCCTTCCCGATGCCCGTGTTCGCGCCAGTTATCACGACGGTTTTCCCTTTAATCCCAGCCTTGCTGGGACAGCGGCCCCCAGTCACACGGTTCCTAGGAAACCAATTGAAATTCACCTTTTCCACTCAAAAAACTTTTTCTCAATTGTTTGTGAATAAAAAAACCAAAAAGTGTGATGCACCTCTCTATGAAAATATATAGAGATAACAATAATAAATATGCCACTGTGCATTGTACAACTGGAAGAGAACATTTCTGCCAAAGAACTGAGAAATGTTTAGATTCATCAGAAATTTTCTGGAAAACAGGGAAATTTCTCAGTTTGAAAAGTCTGAACTGCGAAGTTCAAATCATCTCTATCTTCCATCCACCTTAAGCCCTACTGCATCCAAATAGAGCAGCAAAAGCAAAGGACATGGATTAGCAGCACGAATCAATCAAGTTTTATTTTTATAGCACAAGGCAGCAAACACCTTATTGTGAGCTGCTAGCTTTAGTCTTCAGTCAGGAGCCTCCTGAGTTTCACTGAAAGACTGACTGCTACTGGAGATTCTGTCTGCCCACAACATCACCATCCACAGCAACTTTTCAAAGGAACTTGGACTATACTAGTGAGATCATCACATTCATTGAGTTTCATGTTTCTGTGGCTGCAGAGCCTCTAATTCTGCTGCAACACAGAAAATAGAAACTGCAGGAGCTGAAACGAGAAAACGTGACAGCAGGTGGTGAGTAAAATCCTGACAGTTTTCTGAGTTACTCACTTGATCAAAACGGCGCTTCCGGCCACCGTACCGAACACGGAAACCGGCAGGATGAATCTGCTCATGGCTGGAAAGCCCAACAGTTAAACACTTTAAACTCACATTAAACACTCACATCTGAAAACAACACAACAAGGTTACAGCAGCAGCCTTTATGCGTCATCAGCCAGCGCCGAAAACTGGAATTGTGGGAAACGCAGTCCTGAAGAACCTGAGAACTTATGCTGGTTCTTTAGATTCTATGAAACGGAAGATTATGGGATGCCATCACAGCCAAAAATCTACAGCAATAATTGTTGTTACTTAGCCTGTTGCTTTCAAAGTTACAGTTTAAACAAGCTGGCAAGCTAATTATTTAAATATTATATTTAGTTTGTTGATAAAAATGCAGCTGGACATATTTAGTTTCCTAAATTGTTCACTAATTAAAGTTTGAAAATGTGACACTTATAAACAAATGAACAATATGGTGCGGCCAAAACGTATCTCTAATTACGTTTTGGCCGTAATTAGAGATACGTTTGACTGAAAAACGTATCTCTAATTTTATCTCTGATTATAGTTGTCAGTTTTCCACTGGGTGACTTTATGAGTAATAAGGCTGTGAAAGGTAGAAACAAATTTAGAAACTTCCTAGAAAATGTTTGAAATGTGTGATTTCAAAAGTCAAACATTTTGTAGGAAATAACTAAAAAAATTTGCATTAGTCTAAGTAATTTTCTTTAAGAATTTTGTAATTTGTGAGTTCAACAGTTTTTTAATTTGCTAGAAAAAAATAGAATTTTTAGATCAGTATCAGAAATTAGACATGTTGGCATAAAGAAAAATATGGAAATTTCAGAGTTGCAAAAGGAGAAAATGTTCAACTCTTAAAATTTTAGAGATTTTGAGGTGGAAATTTTCTCCTTCTTTCTCTTTATACGCTAATATGTTGTTGAACAAAAGAAGAAGATCACGCTGTTAATAAAATGCGTCTGGCATCTCAACACTGGACTCACTTTGAACTGTTTCTGTTTCCTGTTCTGCATGGCCGCCATCTTTAATTCTGTATTATCTGGTTTCACTTAAAGTTGACCAATGGGGCCCTCTTCAGGATGGAGGCCAAAATACAACAGTGAAAAAAGGTCTAATGAACACTCTTAGTTAACTTGATGGATGGCAGTTTATTTCTCAATTAATTGTTTACATTGTAACAACAATTTTATCCATGCTTGTATATTTTTGTATTTATGTTTTCCTGTAATTAAAAGAAAACACTGAGCAGTTTCATGATGCATAACAAAAGTCTCTAGTGGAAATCTTTTCTGTCTTAGTAGTTTCTAGTGCAACTGGGACACAGACTGACAGAACCTGGGAGATAAATCTGAGAATGAAACAAGGACGCCTTCACATGAAAGAGCTGGAGGAAGCTGGTGGCATATAAAAGTAAAAACTGGGACAAGAAGCTGCTGTCTGGGAAAAGAGGAGAAGAAAGTAAACCTGGAGTCTCTGCACCTCAAACAGGTGTGTGTGTGTGTGTGTGTGTGTGTGTGTGTGTGTGTGTGTGTGTGTGTGTGTGTGTGTGTGTGTGGTGTGTGTGTGTGTGTCAGTTAAAACACACAGAGCTCTGCCTTCAGGATGATTTATGACTCTCCTGTTTGCAGAGTCACCTGTAGGAAACTTCTGCCTCACATGATGCTCCACTCTGAAAAGCACCTGGATCTGATTGGGAGCTGGCCTGGTTTGGGTCAGGGGTGGCCTAGTCCAATCCTCTGGAGTTACTATATTCTATCTATCTATCTATCTATCTATCTATCTATCTATCTATCTATCTATCTATCTATCTATCTATCTATCTATCTATCTATCTATCTATCTATCTATCTATCTATCTATCTATCTATCTATATATATATATATATATATATATATATATATACATACATACATACATACATACATACAGTGGGTCTGTCTGTGCTACATATATTTAGTTCCCTGTGGGGGCCAGCAGGGTGAGCAGCTTTATTTCCCGGGTCCATGTCCCCCTCTGACCCCCCTCTTGTGTTCGCCGCTGAGGTTGACCGTGTCCCGGCGCTAGGACCCAGCACACGTGAGCTCCTGTAGTGGTCCAGAGGGTGGAGCCGGTGAACAATGACTGGTAGGACCAGCAGATGCAGAACATCTGAACCCGCCTCCCCGCCTCTGAAGCCCCGCTGGACGAACGGACGGACCGGGGCGGACCGACGGCCACCGACGACCCGGGCTCAGCCTGAAGGCTCGTTCAGAGATCCGAGCCGCGGCGGAGTGAATGAACGGGCTCCTCTGCGCGTCTCCTGCGTGTGGAAGTGGAAGTGGGTCATGCGGACCACCGGAGGAGCGGGAGATAAACACGCAGCCTCCCGCAGCTGCCTGGCCGGTTAACGGCTCCCACATCCCGCTTCTCGCGCTCCACATGCGGCTCTGATTCCCCCGAACAAAATCTCACACTGACGGACAGAACCGGGGCTCCAACTCCTCTGTTCTGGAGAAATATTGTTGCCATTCGAAAGCGAAGAATCGGTTAGTCGGTTCCGAGCAGATGCAGGACCATGGAGGAGAGAGGCAGGTCGCCAGCAGGTGAGCAACCCGCGATGAGGAGTTTCAACTGGGTCCAGAAGCAGTGGTTCTGGAAAATCCAGTCCACGAATACTCCAATTCATCATTCAAACCAAATGACCTCTGACCCTTTGACCCTTATTCCGAATTTACTCTGTTTTGTGCAGCAAATCGTTCAGGTTTTCTTCTTCCGGTTTCTAAGAGAAAAATTAATCCAACAGAAAATGTAAGATCCAAAGGAAACCAGAGAAACTAAACTGGGAGAAATTAAGGATGGAATAATTATTCAGATGAATGTTATTAAAATAACCTTCAGCTAATTTACTGAAGTCCAATAATCGCTATTGGTAATTAAGACAAAGCCATAGAAAAATAGCATTTAACATGAAAAACCTTTGTCTGTAATTAAAATAACCTTCAACAAACTTTAGTTGTCAAATAATCATATATTTTGGCATAGACACAACAAAGGCAGCTATTGAGCCAAAACTGTACAAAAATATAAATATTTAGTACTTAATATGAAAAAACATCTTTGTTAAGTTTTACCCAGAACTCATTAAGTTGCATCTTAACGACTTTATTTTTAGCTTCACTTGGTTCAAATAAAGAAAATCTGCTATTAAACACATTTTGCTCCCCAAATGTTAGTTAATTATTCAGATCATAATAACCAGATCAGTGTTGAATTTAATTGAAGGGCTTTTCTTTTCACTAACTTTTAATATGTTTATTTTCTTATTTTAAAAAGGAATTGAGTTATTTTTGTTTAATTACTTCTGATACTGTACACAGTAAGCTGCAGGTGATTCAATAAAAATCAGCAAAATGTGCCGTTTTTAAAAAATCTGATCAATTATCAGAATAATTGTTGAAATGATCAATTATTAAAATAATTGTTAGCCCCAAAACAGATTTGTTGCAATATTCAGAGACATAAAATGGTTAAAAAAAAATCATAATTTTGATGCATTTTCATAACTTTGGTCGCATCATTTTTCCTGAACAGCTGCTCACTTGTTTTCCCCTCTGCTCTTTAATCCTCATGTCTATTGTTAGCCGATGCAGAAAAATGGACCAGATAGGTGGAATCTCATTTCTAATGCATCTTAACGACTTTAAAATCCATCTGACTTTAAAATTCCTGCAAAAAGCCAAACCTGGAGGCTGCAAATGGGTCACAAACACGGCAGAGGGACCAGCGACTCGTGTTTGTTTGCTTCTGCAGACCTGCTTTTTGTTAAAGAGGCCAAAACAATTCATATTCAAAGCAGCCTCTGGTTGCTGCATTAATAATTCACATTTCAGGGTGATTTCCCAGTAAGAATCGACAGCTGATGAGCAGTTTTTCTGGGGGAAACATGCTCCTCACATATTCTCTGAAATTGTCTCCTCTAAATGCAGCTCGGTTAAATGTTTCAGGCAGAAAATAGCAGCAAAAATGAGTTTTCATGCTGTTAGAGAGGAAATTGACCCACTCCAGCTGGAATAAACAAACCGTTTCCCTCCAAACCAAATGACTCAAAGAAATGAACATGCATAATTAAAATGTTTATGATTATTACTTGAAAATAAAAGGGAAATGTTTGGATTTTTTTTTTACGCTGGTTGTTTTAAATGCAGATTCACTTTGCAGAGGGAAATAAACAAATCCTGCAAGCATGTAAATAAGTTATAATGAATGAAAACAAATGTTGTCCTTTTCTTGACTTAAATAGCTCATTTCTGTGAAGTCCCTTCATTTGAGCTGTTTTTAAAAGCAAATCTCAACTGTTTTGTCAATTTAGTGAGATTTCTTTAGATTATGTGGCTTGAAATGATCAGGCATTAAATAAATATAATGACATTTTGATATTATTACTGTATTTATTACAAGGTTTGGAGCATTAACTTCTGCAATCGTTGATCACCTTTGGAAGAGTAACGAACAACATTCCCAGGCAGCAACAGGGAACGTTAGCACTGTGCTAACAGTGCTAGCACCCTGCTATCAGTGTTAGCACTGTGCTATCAGTGCTAGCACCGTGCTAACAGTGCTAGCACCATGCTAACATTTTTCTGGTATTTAATAGCTTTATTATTAAATTAGAGGAACACAAAAACTGAAATATACAGAAATATCTGCAGCCGGAAAGCGGGTGATGTAAACATCAACCATTGATTATTGGAACAATAGGAAAAGTCAACTGCAGTACCACCGTTTAACCCAAGGAGGGCAGCACTGAAATGTAACTAATTTCCATGAAAATCTAAAAATGTACACAGAAACATAAAGATTTAATCTTTAAGACAAATTCAGATGTTCTGTCTGTTAATAAATGAGTTGACTGGGTTTATTTACTCAGTAAGAACTGATTGATGAAACTAATTGATCATGTTTTTCTCCGTTAGAAGATGTTTTTTGTGAATTGGTGCTACGTTATGGGACTGTTGTAAAAGAGGTAATAAGAACTATTTACTTCTTTTCACATCTCAAGAGACCTGATTATTGATAAACAAACCAATAACAAAGTGTGATTTATATCAGAGGTTCCCAACGTTTCTGTTCCCCCAAACAGCATTAGCATTAGCTTAGCACAGACAATATCACAAAATATTTAAAGAAACATCAACATTAAGAAGGTTTTTTGTTCATTATTCAGTAATTATTACGTTTAATTTACCGTCATAGTGATAATTTAACATTTCAATGCCCGCTCCAGCTCGAGCTGACACGGTTTCAGTTGATCCCTAACTGGTTTTCAGTTTCAAAGTGAAGGAGGGAGCAGCTTAGCGAATCAACATTTGCCACTTCCAGCAGAACTAATCACCTTATGCCGCCGTTGCATCATTTAGCGACACCCCATTTTACTGAGCTCATGTTAGCATCAGATTTCCCCCGTGCGTTCAGCATCAAAGAGACGCGCTCCATGTTCTGTTGGCGCCTCGCTGGATTTCTTCCCGTCTTCTTCCTCGGACGACGACTCCCTGCTGCAGCCAGAGGTTACTGGCTAGTGTGAATATAATGGTGTCGGTGGGAACAGCGTGTCCTGCAGCGACGACACTTATTATGATTGGCGTCCATAATCAGATGCCGCAGGGGAAAGTTTTTGCAGCTGGAGCTTTAATCTTTAAACTCTGATGATGATAGAAAGTGCCAGAGGAAATGCTGTGGGATGCAAATCAATGGAAAGCACTTTCAACATGCGTCCTAATCAGATTGTGAAAGATGACCTCATTTCCAAAAAGCATGAAGTTAAGAAGTTGCTGTGGATAAAAGCTGCTTTCTTTCTCGTTGGGCTGATTTCCCCCCCCAAGTTTCTTCCTGTTGTTTGAGATTATTTGGTTTAAGTTTTTCAGTATTTGGTCCAAATCTAATGTATTTTTATAGAAAATAAAAGACTAGCTGTGCTAACCCTAAATCACTAATCATAAACTTTAGTTCTGCTAAAGCTAAATACCAACACCGTATTTAGCAGAAGCTAATGCTAAAGCGCTAACTTCCATTCCAATACACCACAACCTTCTAGTACCAATTTAATTTTCTTCTGTTTCAGAAGAATAAACATAAAATCCCAATAGAAGATTTGAAAGTTTATCTTTTTAATGTGAGAATAAACTCAGGATTCAGTTTAAAATGTTTCCTCTGATTGCAGGAACACAAACCTGAAGCAGTTTTTGCTTTTGCATTTTGAATGTTCATTTTTCAGCTTCTCCTCTGCGAAGGTCACATTCATGCAAATGCTGCTGCTCGGGTTAATGACCCAGCAGTTCCCAGGTGTTTCTGCAGGGACGGATTCGGCTTCCTCAGTCGGGATCTCAGAAGGTTTTCTGCCATGTCTCGGGTTGACTTTTCCGGTTTCTGTTGAATGCCATTTCCTAATTGCATTACAAACCGAAGGGATGGCAACCTGGCCAATTAAACAAGGCTGTGGACATGTGCAAGGATAACTGTGGGCCACCAAGCTCAAAGTTTAAGATGGTGGACAAGTCTGTGCATCATTTGCCTGGAATGGCTGTTTGCACACTTTATATTGAACTGAATGACTTCTTGTTGTTTTGTTGGTTTTTGAACGTTACATATTTGGAAAATCTGGCATTCCTTTGGTTGATGTCACGGCGGCCATCTTGTTTTACAGCTTATATTTATTTGGTCTTTACGGCAGAATATTAGGCTCAGGCTGCAATATTTATGAAGTCATAAAAAGCCCAAATGCTGCGAATTAGCTGCACTATGATGCAAACATGGGACTGCTGTTTTGAGCAGTTTGTGTGTTTGTCCTTATCAAATAAACTAAAATAAGGAAAATGCTGTAATATTAGGAGAATAAACTACTTTAGCAGAATGAAGAAGTAATTTTCTGAGAACTCTAACATAAAAACTAACAAAAAATAAAAAAATATATTGAGCATATTGTGAATTTGTAACGTTTTTTTTAGAACATTTTTGATATTTTAAACAAAATGTTTCTGTTTTTTTAGTAGAATTTTTATTTTTTTAAATTTTCTACCTACAAAGACCCTAACTGGACTCTGTCTGAATCGTTTCTCTTTTTGGTATCGTTTCTCTTTTTGGTATCCTTCTGCCATCTTTGTTTCTGTATCAACTGGCTCCTCTTAAGGATGACCAGCTGCGCCCTCTGCTGGATGGCGTCCAAACTGCATCACTGCAAGAAGCTCTAAACCAGGGGAGTCAAACTCCCGTCCTCCAGGCCGCTGGCCGTCCTGCAGGTTTTAGATCTGCAGATCGGTTCTCCGGTGCCTTAATGACCTAATTATTGTATTCAGGTGGTGGAGCAGAGGCTCATCTAAAGGTTTCAGGGACCCAGGCCTCCAGGACTGGAGTTTGACACCTGTGGTCTAAATGGACATTATTAGTTCATCTCATTTTAATCAAATAAACCATTAATTGACAATTAATTGTAAGTCAATTGTTTACATTCTTAATTATGAATATATGATTTCATAATTTGCTACGTACGACTCATGGAATGGAGGATTGGCTTTTATTGCAGTCAGTTCTTATTTATCTTTTTAGAAAATAAACAAAAAAATAGATTAAAAGTGGATATGTTATGAAAAAATGTGGGATTTTATCTTTAAGCTGTTGCTGCTGAGCGCTGAACCAAACCCGTCCAGTCAGAGTCGCCTCCGTTCGTCCTTCCAGTGTCACTGCGGACGTTTCCGCTCTCAAAGTTTTGGGGACGTTTCACCTTGGCCAGCGTCCTTCCTGGCTCATTGGTCCTCCCAGCAGGAGGCCAGGTGAATCTGGAGCGCTAACAGCAGGGCTCCGTACGGGAGCCAGGCCCAGCTCAGAGCAGGTGATTTGTCAAAGTGAGAGTCTGTGGCTCCGAGAGCAGCGCAGCAGAAGGAGCTTTTTTCTTTCACTGGGTTTGACAAACAGCAGAAAAAAACGACCTTTAGACATCATCTGTTTCTGTCAGGTTGTTTTAGCGCGTCGCACAAAAATAAATGGGCTCGTCTGAAGTACCATGTAGAACTGAAAGTCAGTTGAAATCCTGGTTTCTGCACAGGATGTCAACTTCATGAGGAAGAGGATTGAGAAAGCAGGAAGAAATCTGACTTTTCTTCAAAATTCTGATGTTTTTCTCAGAATTCTGTGTCAAAATCCGGCTAAATAACCAAATATTTCTTGGTGTATTTCACCGATATTGTCAGAATATGTAAATATTTATGTAACTGTTTCTCCTCGTTATCCAGACTGCAAGCCGCCTCAAATTCAGTTTTAACACCAAATTTGCCTGATGGAGCAAAAACAATCGAAACAATTCTGACTCAGAAAGAAAATCCTGAACTCTGAGATTAAAATCAGTATTTATTTTTTCTCATGGACTCGACGTCCTCCGTGGTTTCAGTTGGAACCAGTTTCAGTTCTAACGGGCTGGTTCTGTTGGAAGCCCATTAAAACAACCTGACAGAAACAGATGAAGCCAAAAGGTTTGGTTTGCAGACAGAAACGGCTTTGGTCTCGCTGGGTTTCTCTCTGTGAGCTGGAGGCAAAGCATGTTGGGCGTTTTGACAGCTAATTGAGAAATCGGTCCTCATTAATAATGGCTGTTTGGCCCAGAGCAAAGCGGCTAGTCTATTAGCAGAGATGGTGAAGACGTGGCGAGAGTCTGCAGTCTATTTATTTTTTTAGTTTGTGTTTGTAGAAACATGCAGACGGGGAACGGATCAGTAGCTGCTGAGTTCAGCCTGTTAGGATGTTTTAACGCCAGCCATGTTCATCCGACTCCATTCTGGTTGTCCAGAAAGTCCGGTTTGATTGTGGAGGTTTAAATGCTAACATTGAATTCTGGTCCTCCAAACCAGGATGGTTGAAGTGAACTCTGGTTCAGTTTGATATCATATGTGAACACCAAGTGGACCAGAGATCACTCCAAAAGGAAGTGGACTACAGCACAGGGCATTGTGGGTAAATACAACCAAAACAAATGTGCTAGTTTAACGCTAGCAGGAGAAATAGATGATGGTCTTTAGCTAAACATAATAGAGAAATCCTACAACCTCTAAAATTCGATTCCACTCCATGTTTGCTTACATTTCCTGAAGAAGAAAGCTTTTCAGTCTATACTCCGGTCGCGATTAATCGATTACTAATTTAGTTGACAATTATTTTAATTATTTAGTCATGAAAATAACAGTTGTTGAACTTTCCACCTTTTCTCTAAGAGAAGAGCAACTTCAGCAGAGCTGGAAGAGTTCAGTCAGGATTACTTCAATTATTGATTAATCACGATTAGTTCAATTAATCACAATTAGTCAAATTAATCACAATTAGTTCAATTAATCACAATTAGTTCAATTAATCACAATTAGTTCAATTAATCACAATTAGTCCAATTAATCACTATTAGTCCAATTAATCACGATTAGTCCAATTAATCATTTCGGCCCTAAATAAAAACAATGAAAATGACAGCTTTGCGCCTTGTTCTCGGAGGACAGCAGTTCAGTGGGCGTATTTAAAGCGTTTGGAGACATTTGGGTCGGACTGAGTCGGACTGGAACCTCCAGGTATTAAAACAGGATGGTCTGTATGTGGAGCGTGTGATTGCTACCTTTTCTTTCGGATGAAGCAGCAGTTAGCCACAAACGCTGCAGTTGTGCTGCAGCCTGCAGCTGCTTCCTGTGAGAGGTGAAAGCACAAAGGGCCTTTGACGGCGCCTCCGATACGCCGGACCGAGCCGCTCTCTGCCAAAAGCCTCCACACAATCATCCCTCAGATAACCCAACTCCACTGGCACACCGCCGAGGCTCTGTGCTGTGTTTCCTGAGACGACCAACCTTCTCGTCACATTTCAAGACTCCTAATCCAGTTTTTCCCAGGGAAACCGAGGAGGCGGGATTGTTTTTGTGGGTAATGAGATTAGGAGCTGGGGCTGAGTGTAGGGACAGTCGAGCAGCTTCACTCGGCTCTCTGTGAGCCATGCAGGGTGGGCGCTAACAGGAAACATGCTAACATGTTTAATCATTAGCATGCTAACATGCTAGTGCTCTGTCTTTCTGGGATTAACGTTAAATCACCAACCAGAACCACTGATCGGTCTGGACTGCAACAAACACTTAAAGGATGAAAAATCCACACCGTCTTTTATCTTCACTTTCATGGCTGTGATTTGCAAAGCATCTTCTATGGAGCAGTAATAGTCCCAAAATTCATTACATGTCTACAGGGCAATTCCACCTTGGTCTGTCACAATAATAAATTTTGCTGGACAATTAATTGTCCCAGAAGCTATGATAAATGATAATATTGTTGGTTTTAGATAATTTTCAAGTAATATAATGTTAATAATGCAAAAACACATTCTCAAATATCCATAAACTTTAAATTCTAATGAACATTTAATACCAGATCTGAAAGACATTTTAATTAATCAAAATAAACAAACAAAAGAACAAATAAAATGAATAATGAAGTCTCTATAAACAAAATTAACCTTCAAAAAAGGTCTGATTTAAACCAAAGCCCTGACATAAGAGTTTAAGCAACCAATTTTTGGTACAAAAAAAATAAATAATAATCACTTACATGAAAATTATTGAGCTTGTTTTAAATCGTCATTAATTGATTTATTTCTTATTGTTACAGGCCTAATTCCATCTACTTTTCATTTCGTCTTGCTTAAAAACTTCAGTACTTGGAGGTGATTGTCCTCCAAAACAAGATTTGTTATGTTTTATTTGAGACAAAAATTGTAATATTTGTTGCATCGCACACATTTCCCTCTTTCGCCAGTGGGGGCGCTGCACCAAGAAACACTGAAAGAAACTATATGCATAAAAGCAGCTAACTAAGCCCATGCTAACCCTACGCTGTTCAATGCTAACACTAGCCTGTCCAAGATTAAGACCTGTCTATATCTGATGATGGAGGAGCCTCTTCAAAGCTAACGCAAGCTAACATTCCTCTGAGTTAAAAATGTCGGTAACTGAGTCATGATTATTGATCATTAATCACATCAGCAAGTTGCTTCAGAATGGATATAGCTTCTTGCCACAAGGAAACAGTCACCACTGGGTGCACAACAGTCTTAATTTTGGCACTAATACCACGCCATAATTCTCCCTGTTTCCAGATTTCTCCTTTCATAACAAAACCACAGAGATTCAGTCCAACTCGACTTTATCTCCTCCTACCAGATCTTCTCCCTCCAAAAACCTGAACCAAACTTTCTGATCCATGTTCTCCCATCTACATTCACCTCCAAAGCGCCTCGTTAATTTATGGTTTTCCACCAGTGAGTGGCAGACACATTTTGGGCGCTCTTCTTTGAACCTAGTTTAAAGCAGCGCTGCTGTGAAATTGGCTGCAGGGAAAGAAAAAGGAACAAAAGAGAAGCTTTTAGCTCTGAATGACGGATGAAAAAGGCCATGAGCAGAATAGCTTGTGCTGATTTGGAGCCATTTGTATTGTGTGTGTGCATGCTGTGCATGATTGGATGATTAAATCTGATTGGTTGTGCAGGGAGGCTGAGTTAAGGAGATGGAGACAGTGGGTAAGATCATTAGTGGGATGTGTGTCGTTTGTTTTAGTTTCGCTGTTGTTCAAACAGTAACTGAGACAGAAGCAATCTCACTTCATGTGAAGCTTCCTGATTTAGTTCTTCTAGAATTGCAACTGATGATCATTTCAGATTGATATATCAATTATTCTAACGATTAATCCAATTTAAAAATGGCACATTCTACAGATTTTACATTTGACCACTTCAGCCTTTTTCATAGAAAATTAAAATACATTGAAAGGTGTAAATAAACAAATAATTCCTTTTTCAAAATTAACATTTAATTTGCTGTTAAACTTTCAACCTTTTTTCTGAGAACAGAAACATAAGCAGTGTTGGTGGAGTTCAGCCAGTCAATATTATTTCTGTAATAATAATCATGATTAAATCGATTAATCATGATTAATTGGACTAATCATTTCAGTCCTAAATAAAAGTAATGAAAATAATTAGTTTTACTTTCCAATATTTTTCTATGAGAACTGCAATATAGACTGTCCTGGTAGAGTTCAGTTCCAAGAATCAATTAATTACGATTAATCTGATTAATCGTTTGAGCCCTATATTTTTCTGACCTTTAACCTCCACTTTCAGCATCTCTTCTGTTTCTGCAGGCCTCCCTGTAAATGCAGATGTAGTTCCTGCTCTTGTAAGCGCGCATGAAGCTGTCAGCTCCGGATTTATTGCCATTTGCTCCTCTTTCTGCTATTGATTTTTCGGTAGCTGCTTGCCAGTAAGTGCTGTCTGAGGCCTGAAAGCTTAGCAGAGCCGTCTGGGCGCAGCAGGAAGTCTGATGCATTTACTGAAAGTTCTCCTGATGGCGGTGCTCGCCCCGAATCGACAGCGTGAAACCCGAGAGCCGCCATGTTGGAGAAACGTCGATTCTAACCGTGTTTCCTTTCCCACCAGCGTGCCGCAGAGCGTCAAGGCGAGCCTGTCTCTCTCCCCCTCCGGGCCGGGGCGAGCGGGCAGCGGCGGCGGGTCGCCCACGTCCAAACCGGGCTACTGCGGAGCGGTGCCGGTGGAGGACATGCAGGCGCTGGCCATCAGCTCGCTGTCCGCCGCGGACGTGGCCAAGCAGTACGAACACATCCGGGAACTGGGGAAGGGAACATACGGCAAGGTGGACCTGGTGGCTCACCGCACGCAGGGTGAGTTACTACCCTGTACGGGAGCCCATTAGTGCCACAGATCGACAAAATAATAATAATCTGACTACAATCTCAGAAAATTGTTTCTTCATGGTTAATTTGGTGGCATGAACACGGAACGTGAGTAAAAATGAAATTCTTGTTTGAGAAATCCTTTCATTTCCATGGCAACCATTCAGCAATCCAAAACGCCTGGGTGTATATAGCTCCGCCTTCGAGACGCAGCCCCTCCCCCTCTCAGCTCCTTCAGACTAGCCAGCAGCAATTAGCAAACAGCAGGTGGAACTGCTCAGCTCATTAAAGGAGCTGCTGCTCAGAGCAATGCTGGTAAAACCATGAAAGGGTTAATAGAGGAGCCATGTTGGGACGACTTTCTGGAGGCGGAGCTTCAGAAACAGCAGAAGTTTTTAAAGAGACAGAGGCCCAATTTTAAGACGACGGAGCAGGTCAAATTTCTTTGAACTCACGTTTGATATATACAGCAGCTTTATAACAGAAGGTAACACAATAACCTGATGCTATAGAATCGCACTGTGTAGCTGGAAAACACACAAGTTTTTGTTTCTAATGTGACGAATGTAAGGAGTTGCTTATTCACAACATTTAAGGTTTCCTCTGCAGGGATCCAGCAGAGCAATCTGAAACGATTTCTCCTGGTTTTTTAGGCACCAAAATGGCGCTGAAGTTCGTGACGAAGAACAAGACGAAGCTGAAGAGTTTCCTGCGGGAGTTCAGCCTGACGGGTTCTCTGAGCTGCAGCCCGTTCATCATCAAAGTCCTGGACGTTCTGTTCGAGACGGAGGACAGCTACGTGTTCGGCCAGGAGTACGCCCCCGCCGGCGACCTTTTCGACATCATACCGCCGCAGGTAGCGCCAGCACAACGCCCTGCATCAGTCGCCAACTTTAGTTTTTAAAATTAATATCTAAATAATTTTCTTAGAAAGTATTTGTCTTTTATAATACAGCTTTAACAAAAAGTAAAACCAAGATTATACTGAAACTTTTGCTTTTATGCACCAAAATCATCTTTATTTTTTATTAAACTTGAATATAGCGAGCTTTTTGAAAAAATGAGACTTAATCCTGCTCTTATTGAAAATAATTTTATTCAATTGAGCCCAAAAGAAACTGAAAACTAAAAACCTTTCTATTGATTCAGCAAACCTTCGAAATCCGCTCTGGCGTTTTTGGGTCATTTTTGGTGAAAAACTTGCTGGAAATTCAAAGAGTTTCAAATGTTGAAACTCAAAAATGTCAAATTAGAACAATTTCTAATTTGGAAAACAGACGTGGAAATGTTTCTTTTCCACGTTTTTCTGAGAATATTTCAGAGATTTATCTCAAAATGTCCAATTTTTTTATTTTAGTTTTGAAACTCTAAAATTTCCAGGTTTTTTTCTCTCAAATTTTTTGACTTTTGGAGTTCAGGAATTTCAAAGTTTTTTTTCTCTCAAATATATATTTTTTAAACGTTAAAATTATCAGTTTTTTTCTCGAAAATTTTAGAAGTAATTCTAAAAAATTTCAGCTTTTGGGCGGAAATTGACCCAACAATAAATTGGATCAATAATAAATATCCATTGTGAAAAGATAACTTTAAAAAAATCAACCTTTATCATCTTGATGTTTCTCATTTTGTTTTTTGGTTTGTTTTTTGTTTTTGGTTTGGTTTTTTGGTTTGGTTTGATTACTTTTGAGTCGGCAGCTTTGAACAACATGAGAAAAGTTTGGACATCTCGGCCGAAACGAAGCGCTGCAGTCGGTCATAATGTTTGAAGTTTTAATAATCTCTCCTGGGGATGAATTTCCTTCTGCACCAGATTTTACGGTTCCAGTCGCTCCATCCAGCTGATGTGCAGGGACTTCAAGGCTGCTTTAAAGAGGCGCTACAACTGATTGCAGGAAAAATTACAAAGAAAATCCATATTTTAGTATTCCTTTATCAGCATGTCGACGTTCTTTTCCAAACCGCGTCTTCATTTAGTTTCTCCTCCCTCTGTCACTTCTGCAGGAGAGCTCTGAGAAAAATAATCCTCAGCAAATGTCAATGAGACAAAAAATAACCCACGAAAATAGAAAATGTTCAAATGAGAATTTCATTCATTAAAGGAAAAAAAAGAACCAAATTAACCTGATGTGGAAATATTTAGCTCAGAGCTAAATATTTAGCCTCATTGTTGTTGTGAATACTGAATACTTTATTTAGACAGCAATATATTTAGTTTTAAGCTAGATATTTAGATCCAAAACTAAATATTTAATGTAGCAACCTAATATATCAAGTTTTTAGGTAAATATTTAGCTAGTAAGCTACGTAGTTAGCCTACAACAAAATTTATGTCCAAACAAAAATAATTAGCAAGGAAGCTATATATTAAGCTTGAAACTATATATTTAGCTAGTAGCTAAATATTTAGTTTCAAACTAAATATTTAGCTAATATTGAAATTCACTTGCTGATCAGTGGACTACAAAAACAAAAGCTGGCTTGTCTTTTGGTAGCAGTTGATGCTGCCAGAGTTTGATGCTGCTGTAGTTTGATGCTGCTGTAGTTTGATGCTGTCGTAGTTTGATGCCGTCGTAGTTTGATGCTCTCGTAGTTTGATGCTGTCATAGTTTGATGCTGTCGTAGTTTGATGCTGTCGTAGTTTGATGCTGCCGTAGTTTGATGCTCTCGTAGTTTGATGCTCTCATAGTTTGATGCTCTCGTAGTTTGCTCTCATAGTTTGATGCTCTCGTAGTTTGATGCTGTCGTAGTTTGATGCTGTCATAGTTTGATGCTCTCGTGGTTTGATGCTGCCGTAGTTTCATGCTCTCATAGTTTGATGCTGTCGTAGTTTGATGGTCTCGTAGTTTGATGCTCTCGTGGTTTGATGCTGCCGTAGTTTCATGCTCTCATAGTTTTGCTGTCGTAGTTTGATGCTCTCGTAGTTTGATGCTGTCGTAGTTTGATGCTGCCATAGTTTGATGCTCTCGTGGTTTGATGCTGCCGTAGTTTTCAGGCGGTAGTTAATCTTGGAGACAGGAGTTCTTGGTTAGCTTTTCATTTGAAAACAGTTTTTTTGTTTGTTTGTTTGTTTTGGCGAGATTATTTCTCTGATATTAAAATCATCTTGATCTGTAGCGTTGAGGAAACCGTCAGAAATGTTTTTTCCATCTGTCCTGCAGGTCGGCCTGCCGGAGGACATGGTGAAGCGCTGCATGCAGCAGCTCGGTTTGGCTCTGGACTTCATGCACAGTAAAAACCTGGTGCATCGGGACGTCAAACCCGAAAACGTGCTTCTGTTCGACCGCGAGTGCCGCCGCATCAAGCTGGCCGACTTCGGCATGACGCGGCGCGTCGGCTGCCGGGTGAAGCGGGTGAGCGGCACCATCCCCTACACGGCGCCGGAGGTCTGCCGGGCCAACCGCGCCGAGGGCTTCCTGGTCACCACCAGCATGGACGTGTGGGCGTTCGGCGTGCTGGTCTTCTGCATGTTGACGGGGAACTTCCCCTGGGAGGCCGCCATGCCGGCCGACGCCTTCTACGAGGAGTTCCGGCGCTGGCAGAAAGCGGGCTTCCCCGCCGGGACTTACCCGTCCCAGTGGCGCCGCTTCACCGACGACGCGCTGCGCATGTTCCAGAGGCTGCTGGCCGCCGAGCCGGAGAAGCGCTGCGGCGTGAAGGACATCTTCTGCTTCATCAAGTACGAGCTGGTGAGCGAGCTGCGGCGCCGGGCGTCCTACCGAGCCAAACGGGGCGAGAGGTCCAGCTCCGGAGTGTGCACCGGCAGCTGCGCCGCGTCGTCTTCGCGTTCCTCCATCAGACACCCGGAGCCGTCCACGCCCCCCGGAACGTCCTGCCTCCGCCCGGCGCCGCTCAAACGTAGCGTCCTGTCCGACCCGCTGTCTCCCAGAGACGAGGCCGGGCAGCACCAGTCCCCGGGCCGAGACAAGAACAAGAGTCAGATGGTCATGGCGACTGCCATCGAAATCTGCGTTTGAGCACTGATGGCTCACAGGTCTGACGGCATAAAGCTGCCATTTTAGATTGAATAAATGACCAAAAATATGGCAGGAACTCAGACATTTTGAGAATAATTGAATAAATATTATAGAAGAATTTTGAAATCAAATTTTGTGAGCTCCAAAAGTCAAAAATGTGATGATAAAAACGAAAACAAATTTCCAAAAGTTGCACATTTTCCACTTTTCACACTCAGAAATTTTATCTTTCTCCTAGAAAATTTCTGGGGGCCAATATAAATTTTTGTTTTTTTTTCGAGCATATTTTCATTTTTGGACCTCAAAACTTCAATTTTTCTCAGAATGTTTGGCATTGAAAAATCTTGGAAATTTGTATGTTTTGAAATTTGAAAATATGGTTAAAAAAAAGTGAAATCTTGAAATTAACCAAAAATATTTTCAAGAATAGCAGCTGACCTGAATTTTCAACTTTTTAAATTCTTGAAATTTTTGACTTGTGAAACTTAGAAATTTCAAGTTTTTTGATAAAAATATCTCAGATTAATGTTTTTGTTGTTGTTGTTTTGAAAATTTTCTCAGTTCCAGTCTCAGAAATTTCCCAGTTTCTTCCAGAAATTTTCTGAGATAAAACTCAAAATTTCTGAGTTTCTTGGTGGAAATGTTCTCTTTTTTTTTATCTAAATGGTCCCGATGTGGCGTTTTAGAGAAGAGACGTTAAAAGTGACCTATTTATGCTTTCTTGAAAGATTTTAGGATAAATATATGGCCTATACAAAACATGTTTATTACATTTTTTTGAACAAAATCACTCTGGGATAAGGTGATTTTAGTCAAAATGAGCTGTTTTGTCACTTTAAATCCCAATTAGCTGCTTCTGGCCACGCCCCCCAACTCAACGTTTACACTCACGTGAAAATGGCTGCAAACAGATCCGCAATTATACAACAGGACATCTTTGAAAAGCAGAAGTGGAGCCTCCTGCACAACCACCAAGAATGCAGCAAGAGGTTTCTGGATGTTAAGTCAAGAACGAAACACTTTTCAGCGGTAAAACCTGTGAAGCAAACGTGCTGGAGCTCGGCAGCTGTTGCTAGGTAACAGGGCTCGACAACGGTTACTAGGTTACTTCAATGTGACTTAACAACAAGGAGGTTTTTGAAACACTAAAAAAACTGAACTTATTGCCAGAAAAATGGTTATTTGATTAGATTTTTTTAAAGATCTTGTTCTGTTTTTCTAAAAGCAGTAGAAACCCAAATGGAAGTATAAAAACATGTAAAAGGTGAGTTTAGCATAATTGGCCTCCTTTAATGGCTTCCAGAGACGTGAAGCTCAGGATCCAAACCCACGCTGGGGGAAATGGACGCCATCAATCAGCGGCGAACTGTCGGACAGCCTGTCAGTGAAACTCGATTCCTTTTGGGGTTGATTTGTGACCAAAGACCGATTCCTGAGCAGAGAAGCCATGCAGGCGGCGCCGCTCCTCGTTCAGCCAGTCGGACATTTCCGGCCCAAACGCTTTGTGGTGGTGCTAATTACGCTCAAGTTAGCTTCCCTCCATGTTCCAGAGCTTCACTGCTTGCTTATCTGCAGTAAAATGTAACAGTAAAGTCAGATTTTGTCACTTTATAGCTGCAAACTTTGAGATTTTATGTGAACTGAAAGTAGGACTGGGCAACGAGAATAAGAAAATAAAATCTCATTTTTATCTATTTTACTTTTACTTCATGTATGCAAATGACAAGTGGCTTTTATTATTTATCTAAATTTGATTTTCTTAAATTTTTTATTCTGTGACAAAAACACTCAACCCTCTTCATAGATCAATAAACTTATCATCTATTATCTCTATTATTACAATTATCCCTTCTGTGCAATGAATTATTAAACTAAGAGTTTAATAATGTCATATTTGCAAAATAAAGATCCAGTTTGACCAGAACATTTTTAAATTTACAAATAGTACTTAAATAATTAATCTGAATGAGCGGCTCAGTCAGTTTATCTCAAAGATCAGCGAGTGATGATAATTTGAAACTAATTTGTAGTAAGACAAAATATTTCCTTATTTTTAAAACCCATAACTTCAGAAGATAATCACTATTCCTCATAAGTTATTCATGTATTTTCTTAATATCACGACTTCATTGCCGTAATTGGAAAATAAAATCATAGCTTCACCCTAAAACCCGAATTCAAAGTCCAAGTGGAAATGCAATTAGTGGAAAAAAAAATTTAATTTTCCAACAATCAAAACTTGAAAAACCCAAAATTTGCTAAACTGATGAAGCTGATTAATCACTCAGCCCTAACTGGAAGAAACCTGCTAGGTTTGCACTTTTAGAGATTCTGTTTTTGTTTGTTTTGAGAAAGAAAATGATCTCTGAAGCATGATGCTGCCACCACCCAATCTATCACATAAAATCTACGCTGAAGTTTGTGGTTCTGATGTGACAAAATATTGTAGATTTAACAGTAATTTGGGTAAACAAGTCAGGAGAACAAATTAAGGTGGTAACTGCATTTTACTGCCATTTCTGAGACCTCCTGTTGACCTCCAGTGCATAAAACCAGATTTATCTAAGGGAAAGAATTACTAAAACAGATAAGAAATAAAACCCTCAGTGTAGCAGCTTGGATGAGACGTGTCTTTATGACGGTGTCTAGACTCGAGAGACGGACTCTCAGCGCTAAGAATCAACTCAGGACTCTTCAGTGGAAAACTTCCTGTTTAATCACTGATGGAAACTCGTGTGGAGGCTGGAGGACGCAGCTGGCACTTTTCAATGACTCTGCAAGACGCTACAAAAACAGAGATGTCGCACTCTGGACGAAAAAGGAGAAATCTTCGGTGTGTCTAAAGTTTCAAAAGCACAACGTCTTTTTTTATTAGTAATTACTGTTAGAGAAAGTTATGACTCTAAGTTGTACATTGGTTGATATTTGCACCATATAATCAGGTAGTTCAATGTAGCTGAACTCTTTTTCTACAACAGTGAAGGCGTTTCCAGTTCATAGTGTATGTAGCAAAAATGACCATCATCGATCAAAACATCTCGATGGGTGATCTATAACAGTGTAGCGTCTTCTGTTAGTTCACTACCATACTGTTCTGGTTTTGATTTCTATTAATCTACTTTTTATTTTCACACAGATTGACATGAGTTCTATTGTACAATAGAGGATTGGGCCCAATTTAAGAGATTTAAAGCCATAATATTATGAGAACATGACGCAATGTTACCTTAAGACAGTTGTGAAATTATGAGAAAAATTTAATTGTATTAAGAAATATTTCCGATTTCCATCTACAAATGGAGCACACCACAGTTCTCAAGTCGGAGAAATATTTTGGATTTTCTAATAGTGGTGGTGCTAACTGCAGTTAGCATTGCTAAGATGATAACAATGTATTTGTCTCCATTTTATGCTTTGAAATTTTAAGAAACATTTTCACCAAAAATATGTGAGGGTAAAATTTAGACTCTCAGAGGAGTTAACGTAGAGTTTCGCTATGTTTTATAGCGTGGCGGCCATGTTGGATGTTACCTTTGGGCTGCCCGGGGTCGGCCATGTTGGTTGTTACCTTTGGGCTGCCCGGGGTCGGCCATGTTGGTTGTTGGGCTGCCCGGGGTCGGCCATGTTGGTTGTTACCTTTGGGCTGCCCGGGGTCGGCCATGTTGGTTGTTGGGCTGCCCAGGGTCCTCCGTCTTTCCCTGAGATCTTAAGAGTGTTTGCTTGTTAACTGGGACTACAAAAAGAAAACAAAGGTTATTTCATTTGCTGCCATTACAAAACCTCAAACTTTGTATAAAAAAGCATTTTATATGGAGTGTCTTACTTTTAGTGCAACAATGAACAGCATTCAAACCTAAAGGTATTTTGTAATACTAATATATCTGACCCGCAATGTTTTGGTTTTGCTTTCATCAATACCATTTTGTAACAAATGACTATCATTAGTTGACGTGAACTATTCTTTCTGATGGACTGTTATTGCAGGAAATCATAAAAATAATTTAATTTGAGATCTGGTCAGGCTATCCTTCCCTTTATCCTCTGTATCCTGATCCAGTGTTGGACAATTTTTCTGCCCTTAAATTAGTCTTAGAATCTATTTGTATAAAAATGTACAGGCTGTGTCCTTAAAAGAGGTAGAAACAAAATGTTAATATATGTTGAAATAAATTTATGCACCACATCCTATTGCTTCTGGGCATTTCTGAGGCATGTTTGCAAATACTGACTTTCTTTTTTTCCCTCTGCAAAGTCTCAGCCGAGCCTTGTGAAGTCCCCATCCCATTAGATGAAGGTCAGCTTGGATCACATGTGATTTCCCAAGGCGTCAGCTCCTCGTCTGTCCCTCCACCGAGCCTCCAGACTGGTGTAATGGAGCCGAAGACCAATTAACACATCTGGAGATAGGAGTTATCTGCTATCCTCTAACAGCAAAGAGGTTCAAGGACGAACAGAAAATGGCGCCGGGGTTGGGAGCCGTCATCGTGAACCCGTCCCTCTTTCTGCTGCCTGTCAGCTAATGTACCACTAAGAAGGAGAAGATACAATCAAAAAATAGAAGTAATAGATTAATTTGGGCTGTTTAGACTGTCAAGAGCAAAAAAAAAAATTTCAATGTAAACATTTAATTAGCAAGCTAAGTATTTTGTTAGCCAGCTAAATATTTTTGCTCCAATTTAAATATTTATCTCCATAAATATTTAGAAATAAATATATTTAGCTCCAAACTAAATATTTAAAGGGGCTAGGTAGAGGTAATTTAGAAACTAAATATTTAGCTAACGCAGAGCTAAATATGGCTGACGTTAATATAGTTTTCTCCACTTTAGCTAGCTCACGGCTAAATATTGAGCTAATATAATACGTGCTGACAAGCGGAAGTGAACTATTAACATAAAAGCTGGGCCAACAATCATTGGTGATGCATCGCTGCTGATTTTTGGTAAATGTCTGTATTGCCTTTAAAAGACTCGGCCTTTAAGCTGAAATGTTTAAAAAAAAGCAATTTGAAAGCATATAAAAGCTATATAGAAATGTGGAAAATAGCTTTTATGTGGGTACTCCACTTCCGGTTATCGGCAAGTTAATTTGCATGTTGGCTAAATATTCAGCCCATAGCTGTGTAGATATTTATCCCTGGAATAAATATTTAAAGTCAAACTAAAATTCTGGCTGCTAACTAGTTTGAAGCTAAATAATTAGCTTGCAACTGTTTAATTGACAAGCGAAATATTTAGCTAGCTAACTAAATAGTTTGAAACCAGAGTAAAATATTAATTTGAAAAATTAACTGCCATTTTTTACAAATTTTATAATCTAAATAACCCAAATTAATCCTGTTAATTATTTACAGGGTAAGATTAAAAATCGGTACCGAAGATAGAAAAAGTTCTGACGGGTTTGGAGAGCGGTAGCGGAGCGCTGGTGTGTTAGCAAAGCTAATGGGTTCAGACAGTGGCAGAGGAAGGAAAGGTCAGCCATGACACTTCATGTTAGTGTCTTTTCTCATATCTCTGCCTTTATCTACTGCAGCCTGGTGGCAATGTTCTGCTTATGTGGAGTCAAAAGTGATACAGCAGATTTCACAACTCAGAGATTTCATTTCACCGCCAGTTATGTGTCAAGATTGTCACCTGCGACAACGGGACCGCCATGTCAGGTAACGCCAGAGTCACGTTCATCTGATCGGGCGGAAGTGACCCGAATCGCTGCTGCTGGATTATTTCTTAGCCGCAGCTTTTATATGACTGCCAGCTAAAACCTAATTGCTTCCCAGCAGTAACGGAGAAAGCTGGACGTTAAGCCTGCGGCTGGTGGTCCAGGAGAGGCGGTTCCAGTGGAAACAGCTGTGAAATCCCCGCTGCGAGCCGCCGCTGATGAGGCAACACGAGGTGATGGGAGGCTTCAGGGGGAAGAGTCAGAAATGGAGGAACATTATCTTCTATGTGACAAAAGCAAAAACATTTCGGATTAAATAATTCAGGTCTAACAGGAAGGCCGTTAAATAATGTAAAATGTAAGTTAAATTTAAAGTTATATGTTTCTATTAGCTGGTGCTGATAGAAAAATGAGTAGATTTCTGCAAAAAAAAAAAAACTCAGAAAATTTGAGATTAATCTGAGAACTTTTAAAGAAAAAAATAATTTTGTAGTTTCAAAAGTGGAAAATTTGGGAATTTCTAAAATTTCGCAATTCATGTCAGAAATTTTCTAGAAAGAAAGAACATTTCTGATCTCCAAAATTTGAATGTTTGCTCGAAAAAAAATCTGAAATTTTCAACTTTTGCAAATTTTTTCTTGAAAGTTTCTGGAACTAATCTCAACATTTGTACATTTCTTTCTAAATTTCTGACTTTTCAAACGCAAAGAAACCAGATGTGGCTAGAGTAGCAAAAATGTTACTTAATTTAAAGTAGATTTATTTCAGCCTATTTCTACTCAAGCAGAAATAAAAATAATGTGATGCTGTTTGTAAAGTTACACAAACAAGAATTAACAGCAGTAATTTGGGTTTGCAGCCTGTTAGCAGAAAAAAGGGTGTCTATTTTTCAGAGTTATATTTTTGCCATATTTTTCCATTCATTTATAAAGTTACCAAGCTGGATATTTAACTGGGTATATAATATTTTATAATTGTAACAAAAATTAATTTATTTTAATACTTTTTCTGGATCAGTGTAAAGTGTGCAGCCATTCTTGTTTAAAGGAAGCAACATGCTTCTCGTTTAGTTTGATTTTTGAAGTATTATTTCTTGCATTTTGTTTTCTTAAAGTTAACATATTTTTAATGAAGCCCAAGGATTATTTGTGAAGCATTTCATCTTCTGCTTTGTCCTCTTGAAAAAGCTCTCATATTCATTCTTCTTGGCAGAATTTTCATGTTTTCATCTATTTTATTTTATTTTGTTGTCCTCAGTTTTTTCCCTCCTTGTTGCTAGTAGCAGCAAAGAATTTCTATTTAAAACTCATCATCTTCCCAGACTTTCTAAAACTGCACCACACTTGTGTTGGTATTGATAGAAACAGAAGTTTTGATCATCTTCGCCCACACGTTGCACATCTTCTCTGCTTATTTTGGCACCGCAGGGAGTCCAATATTAACCCTCCTGCGTCACCCAGTTTCCTGCCTCTGCACCTCCAGATGAATGAATCACTTCATTAATGCTTGCGGGGCTGTAGTTTTATTTTTAATTCTTCTATTCATACTTTTTTTTGGGAAACAGCTGAATGATTTTGTAAGGAAAAGTTGTAAACGTTGAACGGAACGGCGGATTTGTAACGAGGGAATCGTGTTTTTTGTGGCAACAAAGCGCTACATGCATCAAATCCTCTTGGGTTTAATGCAGCTATGTTTAGCCTGCATCTGCGTTGGCGCCTTTCAGATTGCAGTTTTTTCTTCCTTGTGGCATGTAAGAGAAATGTTGAGGCGTATAAACTCTCAGACAGAGCGTGGTCGTCTGCCACGGTTGCTGCAGCAACGGAGATGATCCCTCTCCCTCCTCTCTTTCTGTTTTTCTCCTTAATTTAGAGGAGCTGTGAGATCCTGGGTCTCATTTTAGAAACGGCGTCCCACGTATTCTCTGCTGGGCGAGGACTCGATGTTTCGCTATGTGTTGTTGTCATTTTGTGCTGCAGAAATATGCTGCTCTTTGTGCTGCAGACGGCGTTTTTGTCTCCAGCACAAAGAAAAATAGTTTATGGAGCAGGAAGATGGCTCACCATAAAACCGTGAATTACAAATCACAGCCTGCTGAAGAGTTTCCCACATAAAGCCGAGCACTTGTGTTAAGATTTAATTTAAAATCTGTTTTTTTTTTATATGCACAAAAAATGTTTAAATCATAATAATAAATAATATTTACAGCATGTAACAAAATGTCAAAACTTTTGCTTTTCACAATAGAATGGGTGGAAGTATAAATCTACCAATGTTCCCACTCTTTATCCACTTACATACATATAACATCTAAGCTAGTATTTAATACAGGATCTATTTAATATTAATTACAGAAGATGAGCAATCATTGTTTCTTTAAAGGAGCAGTATATTATGTATTTTACATTCAGCTGATTGGACCTAGCACCGCCTTCGAGGCGTAGCTCCTCCCCCTCTCAGCTTCTTCAGACTAGCCAGCAGCAATTAGCAAACAGTTGCTGAGCTCGTTATAGCAGCTGCAGCTCAGAGCAACGCTGGTAAAAATATTAAAGTGTTAATAGAGGAGCCATGTTGGGACGACTTCCTGGAGGCGGAGCTTCAGAAAGAGCAGAAGTTCTGAAATTTCAACACGTTAATCAGGAATTCAAATTTCCTTTAAGTGATTTTTGATATGTATATAATTTCAGCTGAAGGTAACAGTTGCTTTCTTGTGTTTTAAAATGTCACTATGTGCCTGAAAACACATAATACTGCCCCTTGAATAATATCTTTCTTTATCTAAATGGATTAACGGAGGACAAATAGCTTTTATTCAAGTGTATCAAAGTAGAGGGGTGGAATACAAGTTCATATTATTCTATTTTTATTTGAAATGTGAATATTTTTCCAGCTCTGTGATGAACCTGTCAGGATAAAAATCGGATGTGTAGATGAAATAATCAACCAGATGGTCCATCACATAAAATCCATAGAGGTTTATCTGAGGTTTTGCCTCTAATTTCTGTTTTGCTGCGTGAATTCAGATTTTTCCTGTCATCCAGGACCGTTTCGCTCCGGTCCTCTTGTTTCGCACGACTCAGAAATGAAATTCTCCCTGCATGTTTTGGAGCCTGAACATGTGCCGTCATGAGACCTGCGTGTGCCACCCACTAACATCTGCCATCCGCCATGCTTCAGTGTCTTCACGCCCGGAGCCTGAGGAGAGACTCCACCAACGTTCTGCCGCATCAGCAAGCTGTGATGCTGCAGAGAAACTTCAAAACGATGCAGAGCCTGAAGACGAGCTGCTGTGTTCACATGGCGGCAACTTGAGATCACTTCAGAAACTCTTGACATCCGTTCAAATTAATGTTGGGACGAAAAATCAGCAAAAGCAAAATCCAGGCAGGAAGATCCAGAGCTGGGATTGAAACCTTCAATCTTCTTGCTGTTGCTATGCCAACAAATGTAAATTAAGACATCAGATGGACAAAAAACAGCAATTATTTAGCTTATTTAGGTACAAAATAATCAAATGAATTATCAGGCTAAATATTTATATCACAAGCTAAATATTTAGCTTCATATTGAATATGTAGCTTGCTAACTAGCTAAACATTTAATTTGCAAACCACATATTTAGCTAGTATTCTAAATATTTATCTTGTTAAATAATGAGCTAAATATATTTAGTATTTGTAACCTACATATTTAGCAAACAAAATAATTAAGTTAGCTTGTCATCTAGCTAAATCTTGTCACTTGCTAAATATTTTGTTTGGAGCTCAGTATTTGGTTTTCTAAATATTTTGCAGGGAATTTAGTTTTCTAATTAAATATTTAGCTTTAAACTAAGTATGTAATTAGAAAACTAAGTGTGTTTCTCTTCCCATTATTATAATGGAGCTGCTGAACAGAGAGCAGCTGAAACTTAACTCATTCAACTGTATGACGTTAAAAGAAGAAGGAGCCCAAACTGAACCACAGAATGAAACTATTTAAAGACTAAAATAATAGCAGGACAGAGACTAAAAAGGAACGATGAGGAAAGCCAGAGCAAATGTGATGCAACAGAACAATATGGAGGGAGAACAAAACCCAGTAATTAAAACCAATTATGTTCTTGCTGCTGCGCTTGTGAGCAGCACGGCTCCCTGCTGGATTCTGGTATAGATTATCCAGATATTATTAAAGCTGCTACGCTACGCTAACATCCCTCTTAATCAAAGTGTCTTTACTTTCAATCTGCAGTAATGAGTTTCTGTCACCAGGAACAAGATGTACAGCGAGAAGACAGACGTCTGATCCGTTTTCTGAATGTTCTCCTGATGATTTAGAAAATGAATCATTTTGAGTTTATAAATAGAAACAAAGCGAGCAGGATGTGGTTTCTTTGAGCTCAGGCTGCCTTCGCTAATAGCTCTGACATTTCGCAGCTGGCTATGGGTCTGAAATACCCAATCGATGTGTCCAGAGCAGCCATGTTGGGTGACCACCCTGCAGTCAGTTTTCTGATTAGTCTGAGGCGCATGTACTGCTCCTGCTGAGAGATATAGATTTTATATTATTGAGAAAACAGTCAAGCAGGGGGTTAGCTAAAAACAGCTTCAGGTGTTTTCTTCCCTGCTGGTCTTTGCATTTCACCTCCATTGATCTTAAATCTCTGTAGCAATGTGTTAGCAACTTTCAAAGAGTGGGAAATTATTCAATTAAAATGCTTTTTTTTTCTCGCTTTATTGTAATATGACAAACATATCATGTCTCGACTAAGGTTACAAAGTTACAAAACATTGGCCTAAAATCTCTTATAGAACATGTTCTGCTCTGAACCACAGCCAAAGAAACCTGTGGTCAAATTCTGCATTCATAGAATGTTGAGTGGAAGAAGAAAATGGCGACATTCACTTACAGATGTCAGATTCAAACTAAATATTTCATTAGCAAGCTAAATATTTAGTTTACAAGCTATTTTTAGCTAGCAAGATAAATAGACTTACTAAATATTTACTAAATAAAATATTTGAGTGTGAACAAGATATCTGGCTTACTAACTAAATGTTTAGTTTTCAAACTAAACATTCATAGAAAGTTCAAAGGAAAATAGTTCATTTATACATGTCACAGTTTCAAACTAAATATTGAACATGGTTTAGTGTAACTGTTAGCAGCAATATGCAATATTTATATTGATTATTAAATATTTAATTAACAAGCTAATTAAGTATTTGCATATTAAATATTTTAACTTCATAACAAA